TTACACCCGCCTTACTCTGGCGTTAAACCCGCGTTACACCGGGAAGCTCCTGTTACACCAGGAATTCAGTCAATTTAATAATTAAAGGAATGTATTAAATTCAATCAAAGTAAAATTGGAAAAGCCACAAGCGAATCAGCACGAGCCAGGCGGTCGGTGCTGGGTGAACTGGGTCCGGACCATGCGGCACCGTACCCTGGCAGTTCACGGGGTACTGATTTCACAGGGGTTTTTATACCGTTCCCAGGCTTAGCGGGATTCTGTGGGGGTCCTCCTGTTTCCTTTTGTCCTTTTTCACATATTCATGCATGCTCTTTTCTTGTGGCGCTTCTAAACTGAGGTTTTCCCGGAATACTCTGATTGCGGTAATCCCCCCCGAATATCTTGTTCTGGCGACGAATATTCATTTTAAGGCATATCTTCTAGTCAGAATAATCCTTCAGAATAACCATCTTTTGAGACAGGAATTCATCCTGTGTATATTGCTCTTTCCCGTCACTTGGTTCCATTAAAAAAGATACTGTATTTTTTAGTCCTGAGCACGAATTTATTCTAAATCATATATTACACAGGGGAACTCCCGTTACACCGGGAACTCACTGGGCTGCGAATGGGAAAGGAAGGTAACCGTGGAGAGGAAGAGGAGCCTCGATTCAGGCGTTTCTGTGTCACCTCTAAGGCCTCTGCTCTACAACAGGAGAAATGTTCCAAAGTTCCCCCACCTGGGCGCGGGTGAGGCTCCTCCCGAACGAGCGGAGCGCAAGCAGGATGTGCGGGAACTGCTCGGAAAGGGAATGGCACAAGGGACTCGGGTATTGCCATCCCAATGGAAGTGCCCCGACAAGGAATGGCACAAGGGACCTGGGCGTGTGCCATCCCTTCACTCTGCTCAAAAAGTAAATATTTACCCACACCTCATTTTCTGTTTCCTGAGCTCAACTTGGTGACAACACAGAAATTTCTTTTTTGTTGTTGCTGTTTTCAATAATGTATTGTTTGAGGTCTAACCTGAGCTTTGATTTGTTCAGTAACAGACTCAAGACTTATTTCCTAAATATTTCCAATGGAATCATGAGGCTTGTTTGGCACATGCTCATATCAGGACTCCTTGTGTAGTTTGCTCATGAGCCCATTTACCTTATCTTCACTGGCGATGTCTCCTGAATATTGTCCCATACTCTGAAATATTTTTGTTATCTGCAAGACAAAACAGAAGAGCTCAAAGCAATGCACAGCACTCTGAGAAATGGACAGTTCACACGTTTCAGTAGGGCAAAAAACTACAGGGTAACTAAATCCAAAATAATGTAGGATTATTCCTGACAACAGATAAACTGAAAGTGAGCAACGAATTCTTCCTCTGCTACTCTATCATGCCCAGATGATATTCTGAAGCTTTCCAAACTCCACTGTTTTCCCAAGCTTTCCCAAAGGCTGGGAAGAACTTGTGGAGGAATTTTTACCTTTGCAATTTAGTAAAAGACTTATGTGAATGCAAACACTCCCCCACTCAGTTGTTAAAGCAATTCAGTGCATTTACCTGCTTTAAATGGGTTCTTGACTCAAGATCCAAAAGCCTGGAATCTGTTGCAGAGAGGGCATCTTCCATATGCCAATCCATACAATGGATCTGTGGCTCACCAAGAATAAAAAACTTCACAGGCATTCATTGCAACATGAATGTGCAAAATCCAGTGCAAAGTTCAATTCAGTTTTCTTTATTAAAATACCTTTTCACATTTCTTATACTAACGCATTTGCATGGGCAGTCATGGGATGCTGAAAGAACATTTGTCAACAGAAGAGAGCTATGAAGTCAGTCAGTTTTGACAGGCTCATGATACAAACAACATTTGCACAGGGAACAATAAATTAGAGATATTAATCAGTAACCAGAGCTTGAAATTTTAAACATTTGGAATGGAAGATATAAACCCCTTTTGTGTTTCTTGCTGGTTTTGCACCTTTGATGCAGTGCTTAAAGCAGCAATTGTATATCTATATACAAATCCATGACCTCTTTTTTACTATTTTCTAATTAAAATGAGAACCTTCTTACCTGTGGCCCAGATATTGTAGGAATTTAATTTGCAGTAAGAAAAAGGGACCAACTGCAATGTCAAAGGCCATCTGGTTAAGGGGTTAAGGACAGTATTTTTTCTCTTTTGTTTTCTGTTCTTCTTTTAAATTAATGCAGCCAAGATAAACATGGGCTGCGGGATTATATCTGTGTCCAAACTAGATCCATGTTAATGGTTTATAATACTACAGAGAAAAAGGATAGGTATGGAATTCCATACTGGACAAACTGGGCACAAGTACAACTTCAGATCTCTCATAAAATCAGAGGAGTAAGGATTGTACATAACAGGATTTTCAGGTACAAACTCACTGACCTGGGTGTTTTATATCCACTCAATGAAGACTTATCATAGAATCATCCAAAATAACTGTGATGGACAATCATTTCTTGAAGACCCATCACATCAAATAAACCAACAAGCATCAGAATTTTTAAAGGGGAAAAGCAATTTAGTGAAGAAGAAAGACTGTTTGTCCCTCTGATAGAAGCACTTGGTAAAGTCTGAATCTCTGAACAGTTATTCAAGTTTTTTTACAGAGCTCACTCTTCCCTCAGGCCCTCCCTGCAGTGTCACATCCCTGTGGGTTATAACTGAGCTGGCTCCAAGCCTGGTAGCAGTCCAGCTGCTGCAGCACAGGGAGCTCAGCACAAGCTGCAAGATCATGTCAAGGTACATCCATGGCTGGCCAGGCTGTGCTGAGCTCTGTTCTGCACAGTGGTGGCACTGACAACCAACTTAGCAAGTTTAAAGCAAGCTTAGATATTTCTATGTCCTACTGGTATCACAGTAGTTGCTGCATTGTAGAAATGTACTTCCTCAGCTGTAGCTCCCCCTTTGTTTCCTTAGAGCATGAATTGGAGGCAAAAAAGGTAAAATTGCATTAGCAGGAGAAATCAGAGATGAGAACCTGGGTCAGTGGTTTCTAGAGCCACTTTCCTATGAGAATTTTTATTTGTAATTTTTTTCCATTAAATGCTTTAGGAACATCTCTATTGTTCCTCCTAAGGAAATAAACTTTGAAAAGACGAGTCTGGCTAACTCATAAATAACTGCTGCAAAGCCTTTGAAACACTTGCAACATCTTCCATCTCCTGTTGTTTTCTTCTCCCAGTTGATCTTTAAGGTGACTGTACTAGGTAGCATCAGGATGCCCATATATTCTCTGCTGGCAAAAAGAGCAAAAGAGAAAAAAACAAGGTGTGAGTATAGCTGTGCCCCTACCCTGTGTCCTGTAACATATTCCTTAGAACCCTCCACAGTGAGCTAATAAAGACTCACTCTTCTCTGGGGAGATATTGGTATTATCTTCATCAGAGAGAAAAAGAAATAAGACAGTGGGAGATTTAGAGTACAATTACAACCTAGACCCCAATATTGTTAATCACCAACATCTGTAAGTGGGTGCTGACTGACAAAAGTTGGATTTCTAAGGGAACTGCTGGCACTAAACACACTTGGAAGTCAGATCCCTTATTTACTAGATGTTCAGCTGCCACAGTCAGACCCCAGCACCAGTCCCAGGAGAATAAGAATCTTTCCTTAAGGGCTGGTGTCTCACAGGGAGCAGTGCAGCACCCAATTTCTGGACACTGTTCCTGCAAGAGCTGTGCCAGGGGTGATCTCCAGGGGCAGAACCCTGGCACTGGCTGGCACAGAGGACAGACAGAGCAGTCCTCTACACCAGCCAATGGGAGCGGGCACAGGGAGAGCCCAGACTTCATTGTTTTTACATTATATGACAGAAACAATTCTGTCCACTGGGGATTCACAACTGTCAAGTCTTTCCTGGCATCAGTTGCCAAAGTCTCCCTCCAAGAAATTTCTGCTCAGGGTACGTGGTGGCCTCTAACCTAACAGTTCAGTCTGTCAGCACTGAGGCGCCTCATTCCTTTTGTGGACTTACCCCAAAGGATTTGCCCCATGAGTCAGAGGAATTCCTGGTTTATAATTCAGCATTTATTTCAGAGTATCACCTTGTTTTTCATATCCTGACTGCCTGAAATCCCCTCCCCCCAGTTTTAACTGGACACATCCTTCATCTTCCTTTCCTGTCTGAAACTATTGTGCCAAGTTACTGTGCACAGTTAAACACAGGCCAGGTCCCCCTTTGGAGCTGGCAGTGTGAATTCCTTTAACACTAAGGATACACTTTTGGGATCACTTGAGTAAGATGAGAAAGTAGCTGAATAACACCTAGAAATTCCTACAAAGAGATGTAAATTGTACAGGTTTCTGTCTCAGAGGGCACATGCTGAGGTTGGACAAATAGGCAGCTAAAAGTACACAATGTCCTTGTGTACTGCCAGTCCTCCTGAACCCCTAGGACAGAACCAAACAAATACACAAGCACATCTAGGAGTAGCAGGAGAGGAGGAGACGTGAAGTCAGAATGTACTGCTGAGGTAAATTTGACACAATACCAATTAGTGTTTGGCGAAGTGGCTATCTCATTGTCAAGATATTTCCTTCAATATGTTTTCAGAAACTGGAACCATTAAATAACTTAGAAAGATTGCCAGCTCTGATTTCAGGAAGGAAACCTCCTCCCAGTTCCTCTCTAAGTAATTCATTTCTTTTGCAAATACTTCCTATGGATTGCATTTAAGATACAAATTTCTGAAGCAGAGGAGATGGAGGGGAGCAACCCCTGACACAAAACTTTGCGTTCCTTTCTAAATGACCTAAAAATCCAAGACATTCAGGTTCAAGGTACTCTGGACTGCAAATCAGTCACAACCTGTACTACAGCTGAGCCTTTATATAGTTTAAGTAATTCAGACTTTGACTAATTATTTTTCTAATGCATCACCTTTCTTGACATAATACAAACACTTTCAATGCACTTGTGCCAGTACACAGTGTTTACTAAAAGCCTGAACTCAATTTTGTGATGGTCTCTCAGTGAACAAGAAGCAAAGTTCCTAAATTTCCCCGCTGGGTTATATTTATTCTGACAGAAACTATGTAGGGACAATTGCACAAAAGCAGGACTAGCAACCATTAAAATTATTTGCTATGTCTTCCTTCTCTACAGTGCAGTTTTCTGTTCTGCCTGTGACATCTGGAAGAGCCATGCAGAACTGAATGTTAACAGACTTTATCTGAGCAGTGGAATGTACATTATTGGAATTTAGGGAGATAAAAGGACATCAGGATCTGATGAGTCTCCACCACCAATACTGAAATAAAAGGCTGCATATCCTCCCTGAAAACAGAGCTCTTAGCAAAATACTCTTCTCTGCTGTGGTCCTTTGTCTCACACTTCTGGAACATCTATTACTTCCTAAACAGAGTCAAATTCTACAAGTTTTTTGACAGGCCACTCCAGCTAAGTGATCCATCTGGCATTCCCTGGGATTCAGATGCCAGCTGACCAGCCCAGCTCCTGAAGGCCCCTTCCACTCACAAATAAGGCAGCAGCAGATCAAATGCAACTTCACCTCTGAGCCAAACACTTCATTTGCCTATCAAGAAGCAGAACAGCTGGGGAGGAAGTTTAAGCCACTTGATCACTTTATAAGGAGCATTTTCCTTTTCAGGAGTAGGATCAACAACTCCTCATTTGGACCAAACCTCTGAGATACATTGCAGTTAAGCATGTGTAAAAATGAGCTACTGAAAAAAAAAAACAGTTGCAAGAAAATTATGTTAAAAGGCATCTTAGCAGCTCCCTGCCTCTTCTGTATTCATCTGTGTGCCCTGTAAAGTGTTGAGAGAAAAGCAGAGGGAATGGAAAATCTATGAAGAAATTAATCTGTCCAGTCCAATTTTACATCACTTATTTGGAGAGGGAGGTGCTGCTTTTGTCACAGGCTTTGTTGGTAACAGAAGTGGGAATTTAAGAAGCAGAAGACAAGGCTCTGTTCTTTTGCTATGTCCTTTAAAGCACTAATAATGAAAAAAATAAATAGTTATTATGTTAATACATTAACAGTATACCTAAGGAGGGGACAATGTCTCAGACATTAACTGAATAAGGCAGCTTCTAGGAAAACAAGATGTGCAAGTGTTATAAAACTGACTTTGCTCTGGGTGTTTCTGAAAATGAGATTAGTTTTACAGAATAACTACTTTTATTACCTTTCTACTGCTAACATGAGAGTAATAAAAGAAACACAAAGAAAACATTGCCCTCAGCTGACACTTTTCTTCCTTGAATCTGACATTACTTCATGGATTACCTGGTTTAGCAAGCTTTAATAGCCCAATTAATTATGAAAGTGATTCGCATGGGGTGGTCAGTTTATTTTCACTTTCTTTTTACTATACTTCCATAGAGAGATATTTTACTTACTTTTGGCCACAGGGGAAAAAAACCCCAACATCTTCATGTCCTTTAGAAATTATGTAGGCTGCGGAAAAAAAGGACAAAACCTCCTCCCTGAGCTTACACTTCATGTCTGTCACAGCCACCCTTGACCATTTTTTCTTTTGTGTTGGACAGGGACAAACTTTCTTCTGCACGACATTCCAAGGAATGCCTGGTATAACCCAGGGGAGGGTTCAGCTCAACATATTTTTAGAAAACTGAGAGCAAAGAATAAAAACAGACCTTTTAACTAAAAGACACAATGACACTATAAACCCTCCTGGCCTGTGTTAATATGAGTTTGTTTATTGTAACACAATCTGTGACCTTCAGTGCACTGCCAGTGTCTGTAAATAATACAATGGGCTGCCTGTGTATCCCATGGGGATGGGAGTGCTGATGGAGCCTTTCAAAACTCAAATGGATGCCATGAGCTGACGTATATTGTGCTATTGTGATTCTTATTTATGTCTCTCCTTTTTTTCTTTTTAAGTACAAGCTCCAAAATCACAAAGTGGGTGGCAGAAAAAAACAACCGTCTGCTTAGTCTGAGTTAGATAGAATACCCAACATTCATAAAAGTACTCCTGAAATGTGATTTCCCTGCCCCTCAGATCTCCTGAGGGCAGACTAACAGCTCATTCAACATATTTCTTCTATTTAAAAAAAAAATCCACATTTTGTCACTGGCTTCTTACAGGACCTTCACAAAACTCCACATTTTTAGCTGAGATACTCCATATATATGGATGGTATTAGTCCCACTTCTGTGACCCAGCTATGACCCAGCTTTGTAGTCTGCAATAAAAACTGTTTGCTTTCAAAATTTCTTACCAGGTCTCAGTTTACTGCAAGACCTTGGAGTCATCCTACCTGCTCTACCAGTGGATGAAAATAAACCCAGGAGGAAGCAGCCACAGAGAGTGAACAGAGGGGACTTCTGCAAGTTGGGGTGATCACCATCCCTGCTTGGTTCAGCTGCTCACACCTTAGGAAGGAGCTCCCCTCTCTGGGCATTCTAGTCACAGGGGCTGTGTGAGCAGGCATCCCTGGGCACTGGGGATGACAGATGGGACTGGAACAGCAGCTCTGTCCCCACTGATGCATTTACCAGCTGAGCAGTTTTCATCTGCAAATCTCCTGTAGCTGCAGAGCCATCCCTCACCTTGTGCCACCCTGCCAGCATTGGTGGCACAGACCAAAGCTGTGCAGGTGCTCGACACAAACTCCTGGGAGATCATTATCTGTGCACCAGCACCACCAAACTCCAGCCCCTTCCACAGACTCCTAAAACTGACCATTCTACAGACAGAGGATTGATAGCCTGCTTCATGAAAATATATACAAAGGGATTGCCCCATATGTCCTGCAAAGGCCCCGAGCAACAAATAAACCACAGCAACTCTTGAACACCATCTCACCAGAGGCACAAACATCTCAACCCGTGCCACTACATTTACCTGATTGCATAAAGTGTATACTTACAGAATGCCTGTTTTCCATAGAATCTGCAAAATAAAATACAATGTATAAATTATGAAATGGCACCTTCCAGAGTGACCAGTTTTAAGTTCTGGAAAATACAGGTATAGGTACTTTAACCTTTTTGTTCACTTTGCAATGATCTAAAATTCCTACCTACATCTAAGCTTAAAGCTCTGGGCTTTAAGGAGTATTCAAGTTCTAGATTAATGCAAGTACAGGGGTGAGACCAGATATTTCAAAGCCCACACTGAACAGGACCTGTTTGGCAGCTTTTAAGTGCAGAGCTTAAGAGCAGAAGTCTCTAGCACAGTCTCTAAGAAGTCTCTAAGGGCACAGTCTGTTACTGGACAGGAGAGTCTTCCTTTTAGAGGCAAGTTCTCATCAGGATTTTACTTCCTAATCCAATTCCTTGCCAGGAAAATAATGTATTGCAGAATTCCAGTAGAGGATATAATTTTCAGGTCAAAAATAACATCTTGCAAAGACACCTGAGATTTTATTAATAAAAAGTTGCTTGTTCCCAATGAAAAACCTGAGGGCCAGCAAGCTCTTTCCTTTTATGGTCAGTGAACTTTAAGACTGGATCATACACTTATTTTTTAAAAAGTGGATTTAGATATTCAGAATTTTCACAGAATACATTCAAATACCAAAACTTAACTATTTCCTTTCTCTCTCAAAGTAAATCCAGTTTTAGGAGAGGACTTCAAGTCTTGTTAAAAGTGTTCATCTGTATGTTCTGTTGAGATATTTCAGATGTGACAAAACTAAGTGCTGAATCTTGAAGGGTATTTTCTTGGAAAGTGTATCAGATTCACTGGAGAGAGGCTGTGTGAGGGAAATTCATCTAATGTTCAAAAAAGGGCTTGGACTGGGCTTTTGCATAAATATTCTCAGTATTTTTATATAAATGGGAGTCAGTTCCTGAATCTGTTTTTTCTAATTATATATATTTTTAAATAGCAAATTTAAAAATCAGCCTTCCATAGGCAGAACACTTATGTAAATTTTGAGAAGTTCCCTGAAATCGCTAAATGAAGGACATTATGCAGAGCACTATTACCATTATTAGACCCTAATAAAAGTCTTTTAGAAACTCCCTTGTGAGCCAGCAGAAGTAACAAGGAAACTGAACATGGGTGAAGGTCTCTGGAATGATACATTCAGAGTTTTATACCCAGAACTTTTAGCCTAAGCAAAGGATTAAAAACTGAGGTGACTGCAGCATCTTACATCATGAACTCAAATTCAGTATACAACTGATCTCAGTGTTTGCAAGATTGAGCCATGTATGCTTAGACATTAGGAAACAAACTAAGAAGTTACATGGAACACACACAAAGGCATTTTTGTGTCCTGAAAGCCAACAAAATTGAACAAAACCACTGCTGACCCAGTGCTACATCAAAGCTCAGTTTAAGTGGACAAAACCATACATAAGGTTTATGAAATGAGACATTAACAAGCTGTCATTTAGTCTGTCACAATGTATTGTTCTCACAGGAAGGAGGAAATGAGAAATTTTGTGTAAATTCCAGACTTCAAACAACGGGATGCTGGCTACCCAAGGCTCGGAGGTCACAGTGCCAGTGATCCTGCCTCCTTGTTACCTGTCACCCACATCCAGAGCTCTGGGGCTTCCTAGCTGAGTGTCACAGCCCTGCCAGGAAATGTCACACTCTGTGTCAGGGAAGTGCTGCTGGAAGCCTGGGTGATTTCCACCAGGTACCACTCAGGGCAGCCACCAATAAAGGCACAGTGATACAGTGCTTGTCAATCTTTTCACAATTGTTTTATTTAATTTTTGTTTAAAAAAATAATAAAAAAGAAGGTGGTTTTCTTTTTTATTAGTTTTACTGTAGAACTGAGAGATTTTTCATAATACCTTGCTTTCCCTTACTGCCAAAACTGGGGAATTGGGAAATGCTTAATTCTAGACACACAGAAAAATTGGTCAAGCTTCTGTAGAAGCTCCATGTTTTTTGAAAAGATTCAGAGCTGTAGGTCTGATACTGGTGATTTCTAAAATATTCCTTTCTAAAAAATGTAGGTGGTTTTATGGACTTCTGATGGATTTAAACTCTTGGTATTGCTTCTAGCTGACAGGATTTTAAATTCTAAGAACACATTTTTACAAAGGAGTACATATAGCAGGAATTTAAGACACTGTCACCCCCACCTGCTCTACCATTTCTTGTTGCTAGGGGTTATGGAGAGGAGAATATGTGCCTTAACAGCTGCAATTGTCAATCCACCTCCAAGGCACCTCCAGCCCTGGTGAAAGCCATACTATGAACCAAAGGTGCTGAGCTGCAGACACACACAACGTTCTGCCAAGGCCCTTGCTGGAGCAGTAGCTTCCATCAGGGAATCTTGGCAGGCAGCTTGGGAACAGCTCTGACATGGGGCATGCACATAATCCAGCTCTGCACTGGAGGTTCAAGCAAGGTCAGAAGCTCCCTGCATATGTGTCTTACTGAAACCATCTGGCTTTGCCTGATTTTTGGCTGAAGCTATTGTAAGCATTTGGCTCTGGAATCAATGTCTCACAGATCCAGGCCTTAGTCTAGAATATGTCTAGAAACCCAAAGATCCAAAGAGTTTTTATATTGGAGAGAGGACAAGTTATTTGCAAGGGTTTGGACTGCTCACAACTATCATGTGCCCATAATACCCGAGTTCTGAACAACACAATGAATCCCCAGACCCTGCGAGTTCTTCCTATGCTGGAAAAGGATTCAGTGGGAAATTCTGGCTAAGATGTAGGTGTTAAGCCTGAGGCTCAGGAGCAGGAAAGTATTTGAGCAGATTTCCTGATTGCCAGAGCTGATTTTGAATAGATTTGTTCCAACCCTCTGAATGCAATGGGGATTTCTCATGCCTCTTTCCACTGGGCTATATTTATTTTTCCATAGTACATTGTTGGTTGCTGTAGGACTCTTAGAATTTCCTGTCTCACCGCTGCAATTGCTTCCAAGTGACCAATTCATTTTTCCAGACTTAGCAGCATAAAGGCTGGTTCTGCATTTTGTTTGCTGGATTTCCACTTTCCTAATAAGAAATTGGGAATTGTTATCTTGCAATGAGCCACAGTGAGCTTAGTCCAGTGCACATAAGATCAGTGCAAAGCCTCCCACTGGCTTCTGTGAGCTTTGGGTCTGACACACAGGAAAGACAGAGTTCACTGAAGGAGAAAGAATGTACCAATAACATCATCTTCCACAGGAAGTGTCCTGGAAAAACGTGAGGAAATCTGTGCACTGGAGTTGGCTCTAATTCTCCTCAGCAGCACGAACAGGACTGTGCAATTCCAAGAACTGGGATCAACGTTGAGGGAAGGGCTGGAGCTGAGATAAAGAACCAGCATGGAGATGCTCGAGCTTCCTGCCCCTACTGCCTCTTGGGAAGGTGAAAGGTGTGATGGAAACAAATCACGCCTGAAAAAGCCTCCACCCAGGCAGCTGAACTGGTGTGTGAGACATCCTGACCCTCCCTCAGGAAGAGCTGCCAGCCTGGACTGCAGCACAGGCACGGGAGGCAGCAGGGCCACAGCCATTTTATCGTTCTGGCAGCCTGTGCATTTAGACAATTGTCTGTTTTGTTTAAGTTTTAGACTATATAACTTCTTTCTGAACAAAAAGCAGCATCTTTGGGACTGGGCTGGATATTCCTGACTCACAATATGGTTTGGCCTTTTCACAGAGAAACCTGAGAAAGCAGGATTTTAAAGGAATGACTTAATCCTGGTGAGCTTTAAGGACTTTTACACAAAGCTGTTACTGACCTGAATGGCACTAACTGACCATTCCCCAAACTGCCATTTGGATGAATGGTCTGATTTAAAGTTGATGCTTGAAGTTGTTGGTATTTTATGTAAAATACTAAAGTAACAGCCCATTGCTCTAGAAAAGGCTTTAAAATAATACCTGGTTGAACATCCTGAACACCAAATATGTTTCTGAATTAAACTAATCTTTCAATAACAATGCAAGGACAACTTCTTATCTCACAGAGCAAAGTGAGCAGCATCCTCCTTAAACTCTCATTACAGCAGAGGAAATCTAGCATCCAACAAACCAGAGACTGACATCATTTGACTTTCAATCAAAACATACCTTACTAGAATGGAATTTCACAAATTACCTGCTTTTCCCACTGCAAATGAGCTAACTGTAGTTAACCACAGGTTAATGCAGGTCTTTTGGGACTGGAGATGTGCATTTGACAGTTTGTTTCTCTAATCCTGAGTCCTGGCACTCAGAAGGAGGAAAACAGCACAGCAGGGAGGATGGGGAGCCTTATCCACAGTGTGGTGGAGGCACTCATATGGTAGAAGCAGGAGATAACATAGCCAGCACCAGGAAAATAAAAAGAAAAGGAATAATGATAGATGTTCAGCACACTGCCAAAGGCCTGGGGCTTGGGAAAGCTCAGAGCATTATGAGCACTATGGATTCATGGTGCAGATTTTACATAAGAACAAGCAACAGCTACAGAACTCAAAATAGAGGAGCTGGTTACTGCTATGGCATCTGCCTTACTGGGGATAGCAGTGAGCTGTCAGAAAAATGAGGAGCAAAAATGTTTTAGCTCAGTCACAAAGAACTGCTTCAGACATAACAATTACAGACTGTTCTTCAGCTTCCTCTCTAGTGCACACAGTTTCTGGAATGCACAGACAACCCCTTCATAAGACAAAATTGCTTCTGAAGCCCTCAATTCTAATGAAACCACAATAGTTACCTACAAATAAATAATATGTTACATAGGTCTTAGGGGTTAAATCTGTCAAGCTGTGTAGCTGACACCAATTCCTAAACTCATGATTTCCACAAGGACATGTTTGTCTAAATCACTGCCTTCTTGAAGCAGGTTGTACTCCCGGGCTTTTGCTCAAAAAATCAAAGAATAGAAAAATGAGTACAACACACAGGCACAGCACCAAGGATTCCGAAATCCCTTTGCCACTGTTGTCACTCTCTAAACACTTTGCCTTAAGATAGAATATTCTGTTCTATTCTTTAACTTCTGCACCCTCTAGTCATGTTCAACATCTGCCACAATTGGCAACATTTAATATGCTTATATTAATATATATTAAAGTAGACAGAATATTTCATAGGCATCTTCCACTGAATTTACACTTTGCCACCTCACAATCACAGAGCCTATCAAAAATCCAAGGTAGTGTTACATTAACTGTAACCTAGCACTGCATTACTGGGTGATGTACTGCTTATCTAATTGAAACACTTTTCCTGTGCATCAGTCAGGAAAAACAGACGTGATTGAAACAATAAACTGGTACTGTGTTTCCAAGAATAACTGAAACTGTAGAATGTTATGCATAAAAGAGCAGGTGGACTGCAAGATTAAGGGATGTCTGCAGATCCTCTGGCTAATTCAGCTCAGTCTTTAAATCATATCCCATTTTACTGCAATTCCCACCTTATGGCATTACAGCTTTTAAAGTGCTCTTTGAATTTCAGCTCTGCTGTACCAACCTGGAGTTTAACACATTCTGTTGTTATGTACCAGAAAAAAACCAGGGCTGGTGAGTGGTGTGATAGCCACCCTCAGACCTGGGCAGAGTGGGTGAGGGTTATACAGCAGCTTCTGCAGCTTTTTATGGGTCCAGTTCACACTCATTGGAGAACATTTCAGAACATTTGTGGCCTTGGGGCTCAGCCCTAGAATAAACTGGGTTTCTTTTCTCTTGGTAGTCCTGCATGAAGTGCCTGGCCATGCTCTTAAGTGTGAAAGATATTCTGATTTTCACTGCAAGGCTGTGAAAAATGAGTACAACACACAGGCACAGTACCATAGATTCCGAAATTTCTTTGCCACTGTTGTCACTCTCTAAACACTTTGCCTTAGATGCATGACCTAATCTTTCTGTTTATTCAGCTGTAAAATGGAGATAAAAATTGCCATGTAACAAGGGAAAATTAAGTAGCATTTTCTAAAGTACATGGAGACCCTCACATAAAAGATTCCCCAGAGACATATTGTGTATATTGTGTCAGAGGTGGGAAATGCCTTATAGAAAAAATAGAAACTTAAAGCACGACAACAACAACAACAACAACAACAACAACAAAAAAAAAAGGCACACAACAAAGCCTGAATGGGGACAAAATATGAACGGTTTGCAGCCCTAATATTTACAAATCTAGACTTCCTAACACAAAGAGAGGAGAGGAAATCCTTTCCTTGACAAACTATGATGAAATAACCTTCTTTTAACCCACTGTCTCTGAACTGATTAGTGCCAGAACATTTACAGACAGTAATTGCCAGCAAGCTGCCACTGCCCCCACACACGTCTGTGTTAGAGGAGCTGCTGGAATGATCATATTGCTGTAAAGCTTGTAGAGTCTGTTGTTGGGGGCTTTATAGATATTTGCTGGAATTACACCCAAAGCAACTGGCCTATTTTATAGCATGTGACAAACGTGGTCAATTAAGAGACAAATGTTTCTCTTGAGCAGTTTGAGATAACAGGACCTATAATCCTGATCCCTAACGGGGATCTTGATTCAAATCCAGATGTATGGCCCAAATATTCAGCAGATCCAGCACAAATGGGCTGATGAAGTAGATACTACAAATATCAATATCACTGATTTATGAGGAGCCATAAAGATTTCATGCAATTTATCAACTTCTGTGATTTTGTAGCTGCACTTTGGTATGTTCCCATCCTATGCAACTTGCAGCTGTTCTTTATTATGGCACTTATGTTCTAAATATTCTGTCTAAAATATTATCTTATAAAATATTCAGTCACAAATTTATCCCTAACCTCTACATGCACGCTTCCTTGAAGTGTTTAATTTTTCACTAGCTTACTTACCATTATTAGTTTTTCTGATTTCACTATAAACTGTTTCAGTCCCCTTCTGTTCAGGAGCTGGAAAATGTATTGGCACACAATCAATATATATATTTTTTTCTTTTTTTCTTTTTGTTTGTTTTTTGTTTTGTTTATTTTATAAAAAGCTCCTGTGACCCAGCTATGACCCAGCTTTGTACTCTTAAAGAAACAGAACACACTTTTTTACTTTCAGAAGCAGCAGCTACATAAGCAGCAATAAGCCTGTGGAGTCTGTGTGAAAAAGCAAGTACAACCCCCTCCCCAAACCCAGCCTGTAAGGGTCTGAGAGAAGGATGTCTCCTGTCCCTTTCCAAATTTGACTTCAACATTCTTCCAATCTTCTTCTGAACTTGAACTAATACTACTTTAATTTCACAGAGACATCTACCACTAGAGAACAGTTTCTCTGGATCAATTTGAAGAGCTTCTTCTGTTTGTTCTAAGGATTTAGGGGTCCTAGCCCTGAGGAAATCTATCACTTGGAAGATAAACTACAAACCCTTTTGGCAACTAGCCTGTCTAAATCTTAAGGGCACAAAAAATAATTTAAATTGCTGTGCTTTGTGAAATGTCTCAGAATAATATTTGCAGATTTCACACTACACAGCTTCCATTTAGTGCTATCTGGGAAAGGTCTCCTTTTGGACAGAGCCCTGTCTAAAGGCCTGAAAATAGCAAGAATAATTCTCTCTGTGGTCAGCATAAACTTCTGGCCAGTAGGAGAATAGAACAATCTCCTGGATTTATTGCATGGTTGTAGTTTAATAAGCCCCTGGGCAATCAAAGTGCTCCAGCACTGTGTATTTAAAACCACTTTCTTCACTTGTTGTAAAAGTCTGTGATGGCAGGGTCCAAGAGTTTGCTGTTCATGGATCTCAAAGTGCTTCAGAAACATTCATTTCAGTTAAACTGAATCCTGTGCTTTAGCTATTAAAAACCCCCAACATTTAAAGAGTTCAGACATAATGATTTGCAGACTCAGAGTCAGGACTGTTACTGTTCTGGGTTGCCCTGAAGAACACAAGTGTCTCTGGCACCATATTCTGATTTCCCAAAGCTAATTAGAATCATTGTTTTTAATGCTGTTCAGCATCCTTTACATGCTGTGAGTTAACACATCAGAATGGAGTTGCAAAACTGCTCTTAATTTAAACAATAGCAGCTACACTTCCCCAAGTGTCTAATCACAGCTTTCAAACTTACAGCTTTGGCAAGAACTTTCTTTGCAAAATAATTTGAAGCTCTCAAGGCATATTTCAAAGGCTTGCAGCTACTGCTTAAATGATCAATTCAGTTTCTAGTGAAGAATTAATCTTGTAATTTTAATAAAAGGTAGCTCATTTTGTTTAGGACTCTTTTTTAGCAGGTAACAGTCCTAAATCTACTCCTATTGACTCTGTGCAAAGACTTGGTTTGAGGCATTTCCTTAGTTTGCTTTTTTTCTTATCATACCCATTTCATTTTATTGTGGTATAATGCCACTGCCCATGTTATTTCCTTTGTCAACCTTCCAAAAGTTGTCCTGAAAAAATGTGCCAGGAGAAATTACTTGGATGATTTGACATTTTGTTCCCACTCATTTTATAATATTTCCACCCTAACCAGATATGAAAGTAAAATAAGGAGAACATTCTTACTCAGCCATACTTAACAGTTTCTGCCTTGTCACTTTAGGGATGTTTCCTGATCTGACTTTAGCCCCTGCTTTTGGTTTTTCTCAGATTCCCAGTAAATGATCTAAATCACCTTGCCATCTTTTTTCTCAACTAAGCTTTAGAAAAGACAAGCACTATATTTTTGTCAAACATACAAACTTAGTAAGTATTGAATTTAATAATTCTAGATAAAAGTATTCCATAAATTAACAGATAGCTCAGACATTGCTTGAAAACAGGGTAAAACAGTGTTTTAAAAAGTAAGTAATTCTTTACTGATAAAGACAAGGTCTTCATCCTTCTACAATAATTTCAACTTCGTTTGAAGTGACATTCAATCAATCCCAATTCCCAGAAGTGACAAAAAGGCAACGGTTACAGCTTAGATACTGCAGCATTTATTGCAGTACACAGTAGCCTTTCACAGTACACAAAATATGACTCTTCTGCTCCTGAGAACATTAGTATTGACATTGTCAACAGTGGCAGGAGGAACAAATGATTGGAAAGATAAATTAAATTGAGGTTAGGCCAGAGAGATCAAAGAAATCTGCAGTTCCTCAAAAGGCAGAAGGAATCAGACTCTGTGTGTAGCAGCTGGATGAGCAATGTGTACCCAGAGAAAAGGTAAATGTCATTTGCTTTGTCTTCATTTAGAAAATAGGAGGAATCAAAAGAGGCGTAAAAGGGATTTGGAGCAAGGTGATAACCTGAAAGTTCTGTTCCCTAGGAAGGGCTGGTCATACCCCCACACAGACATGAAAGAATATTATGACTGGGAACAAAACCTTACAATAACACCAATGTAGCAGAAGTATCAGCAGCAGTCCTGTGGCCAAATTCTCTCTGTGGGTGTACATGCTTATTACAAGGGAATACTAAGAAACTTGGCTTTGCTGCTCTTTTCCCAAGAATAAATCTCATCCTGTTTTCATTATGATAGGCAGTGCAGAGCTCAAGAGATAACTTAGTTTCATACAACTCCTATTTAAGCAGCATCCTCAGGATGCTCTCAGAGAGGAACACATTAAATACTTTCAGTGCAATTTCCATTTCCATAACCAAAGTACTCCACTGTGTCCTGGGGCAACAAAGGAAATCGATCAGGGAACTTGTACACTCAAGTACAGTTTGGTCTTACAGAATCAATCTATGTTCTGTGTGCCATGCATAGATCTGTAGCATGAGACAGAACTCAATTAATATAATCTGATCTCATTTACAAACCATAGCAAACATTATTCTGTAGTTTAATGGGGTTCTATCTGTAGAGCATAGATACTATCATTTTACTTAGTCTGATACACAGGAATAGTGTTATATATCAAGAATGGATGAAAAAGCTGTTTTTATAGATGTTGATCTTGAATTTAATTGGGCTTTTAATTTAAACGATGCACTATCATACCTTACTGTTCTACACCATTGTACAAGTACAACAACTCTGGTCCTTCAGTGCAGAACTTAGCAGAGGGGGGTAAATAGCCTGTTTCAAACACAGGGAAGACTGTGATGAATGACAGCAGGAAGTGAAAACAAAATGGACATGAGGACTGGCTGTTCTGGGAGGGCTTGGCTGCCAAGCTTGAAGAGTGAGCACTCTTGCCCAAACATCTCTGCTACCAGCTAAACAATAATGTCTTTGGTCTCTGAAATAAATGACTACTCCTTCCTACCAGGAAGAAGGAAATTTATCCATTTCTTCCTCAGTCTGCATCTCATTCAGCTGAAGCAAAGAAGCAAGAACAGAGCATAAACTTCTCTTGCAGGGTTTATTCACTTCAACCTACTTGGAGCTTTTTGCAAATTTCTGAAAGGTTTAGCAGCTTTCAACACAAGGCCATAATGGCATTGGAGTTCTCCAGATGACACAGAATGATTTAAGTGGGCATTTGAGTGGTGAATAAATTTCCATGGATATTTCTCCTTCAAGGTTGCAGACATGTACCTCAGCCCCACGCTCTGAGGTCTGGTTACAGCAGGGAGGAGGACAAAATTGTCTGGGCATTAATATCTCATTTCTCTGTTTAAGGTGCCACAAAATTGAGGATGGTCCCCAGGTCTCTCCAGACTGAGACAAAATCAACACTGGTGTCCCTTCTCTATCACAAGCAAATTACAGCTTTGACCCTACAACCAGTTCCTTTACAAAGGTGGAAATTCCACTAGTTTCTGTTCTCACCATTATCTTACCCTGTGTCAACCTCAAGTGGCCCTCAGTGAATTTGGTCTCTTTAACATGGATATTTCACAGCAGGCTTCCTTCTGCTTAGAGCCACAGCTCCAGCTGGGAGCCTTGCTCCAGAGACCTCCTGTAAATGGGAATGATCCCAGGGGAAGAACTGCAAGAACAGCAGCACAGGAGCCACAGCATCAGCCAGGTTTAAAAGCACTCCTGGCAGGAGACTGTCAGCACACAAAGCACAACCCTGGCACCCCAGGTGCCAATACCAGACCAATGTCAGGGAGCAGCAACAGCCCCAGAGTTGCTCCCAGAAATAACCCATAGAGGCTGGAGAGTTTATTACCTCTGTAAGGATCAAGCGTGGAGACTTCAACTTCAGTGTAATCCACCTCAGCACTCTCAAGGTCAGGTCCTGCCCCAAAAATATCAAGAAGATGTTTCTTTGTAGGACTGCACGCTTCATTTGAGCCGTGGGCCTTATCCTGCTGCCACTGAAATTAATGGACAAGTCCCAATTGACTGTGATAGGTGCAGGACCAGGCCCTACTGATGGCAGACAGGAGTTATTCTGCTAAATTGTAAGGCCTGCCCATTCCTGAGGGTCGTCCCACTCCAAAGGGCAGAAGACCAACTAAAGGCAGATTTCTGAAACTGTGGGACATGCAAATTGTGCCTAAAACTGTTACTTGCAATGTAACACCTTCAAAAGTGGCACACAACAAAATGGAGCAGGGAGCTTCTGGGAAATTACCAGAGCTTCTCCTATGTTCCTGCTCCAGCTGCTCTTCCCTTTCTCTCCCTGCCATTACTTTCTTGTTTTCTGTGGCTGCTATGGCAGGACACTTCCCATTCTGCACTTTCCTCACATTTCAAGTCATCTTTATGTCTTTCATGGCCTCCTTCATCACCTCTCATTCTCCAAATTTCTGCTTTGCCAATTAGCCCATTTCAGCACTTTTCTCCTAAGCTGCCTCCAAGCCCCACATAAAATATTTGGCATGGAACCCATTTTCCTCCTCAGAATGCTTCTCTGCCACAATACCCACAGAAAGCCTGGCAATGATCAGACATCTGATTTACTAGGACCACTGGCTGACAGGAATTGGCTACCTGGGTACAGTAGACACAAGAAACAGCTGTTGCTTTCTGGTCTGTTTTTAGAGTGGGGTGGGGATGGAGTTCTACCACATTCTGTAAGAACTGGAAAGAACCACAACAGTCACTCAGACTGAAATCCCGCAGAACTGATTTGGCAGATTATTTTATTCAGATTTCATAGCAGGTTTAATATTTAATTCTTAAATATTTCAAGATCCAGAGAAGTGAAGAAAGGACAGAGAAGTAAAATAAGCAGAAATCTGTAGAAAATCTTGGTTTTTTAAACAAATCAGAATATTTGTTATCTAGAACTTAATATTTTGAGTATAAGTTATATTTTTATACCATCCATCATTAGATGGCCTGGGATCCAGCACAGCTAATTACACTCCATAAGGCAATTGATAAAAAGGTCCTATTGGTGTAATTTTGGACATAGGAAAAAAGGGATGGCCCTATCATTACTACCTCACTACTACGATTTGAAAACATCAAGAATTTAAATTATAAAATTATTTTAAAATCTATTGTTTAAGTATGGAATTACCTTTACTCTCATCTGTTGATTTCATGTGGTTTTCATTATCTTCAATGTAACCTGATCCTGAAATATGAAAGCCAAAGCTGAGCTGACAAAACATTTATTGTAATCAATGAAATAAATGAATTACACAGCTGCAATTCCTACTGTCATTATCTGTATTGCTATATAACACATTCTACTTTTAGATTCCCACCTAGGACATTCAGGTGGGAAGAATGTGGCTTTTTAAATAATCAGCTAACAAACACCCAAAGGGCAACTTTGTCTGTCAGGTGCTCTAAGCATCATGTCCACCTGTCATTGCCAAGTGCACTGAGGTGCTGCAATGAAAGGTGCCCAGGCAAGTTAACATCTCTATACTGTGTCCACATCACAGGGCCATGTGCCGCAGCTCAAATTTCCTCTTTGAAATAATTTTCTTGCAGCTGTGTCAAAAGCAGAAAGTAATTTTCTTTTACCATGATTTCTCCATCTGTGATATTGTCAATTGATTGCCTGGGAGAAGTGTCTGAGCAGACTTATAGACCAATCTGAGTAAGATGCGCTCATAAAAACTGTACAAAGATAAAATGACAGAAGATACCTTGGACAATGTTATTGGCATCCCTCTGTATTCCCAAAACATTGGGCCCCATCCAAGCAATAACTATGAAGTCCAAAACTTTAAATAGATGTTTAATTAAACCAACTTATTAACAGTCTTATAGCAAAACATCCTACCTGAATAGTAGTTTCCATCACTGGGTGGTCTTGTTAGTTTTTCACTCGTCAAGTTTGGAGCCAAGGCAGAACTGAAAAACAAACCAATAAAATTTGATGTAATTATCCAAAACCAGTCAATAAAAGCAACAACATGATTCTGTGTAAAGATCAGTCACTGTCTATGCTGACTACCACATACTCTTAACCAGTGAAACTAATGAAAATTTTGCCTTCGCTTTAGGAGAAGCACAAGGAAACTTTAAGGTCAAAAATGTTCCCTATTGCATTATTCTTCTTTAAGACCTCTGTATTTTCAATTTTATTCCATATTTAAATGCATTCAGATACAGACCTGACATTCTTGTATTCCACTTATCTGGCCTTTTTTCTATTTTTAGAGTACTTCCTCATCCTGTTGTTGTGTTTGCAGGTGGAATGTGAAGCACAACCATCTATTGTCTGCAGGTGTGCACTGTAACAAGCTACATTTGTATGAAGCAAGGCTTACAGCCCTTTATACACAGAAATATTGCACCACTATCATAAAGCAGGTGTTGTGGTTTAACCCCAGAAGCAGCTAAACACCACACAGCCACTCACTCGCTCCCCCACCCTGCCACAGAGGGGTGGGGGGGTTGGATTGGGAAAAGATAAACCCCATGGATTCAGATAAGAACAATTTAATAATTCAAATAAAGTTAATAATAATAATTGCAATGAAAAGGGGGGAGAGAGAGAGAGAGAGAGAGAGAAGGAAACCCCAAGGAAAACAAGGGATGTCCTGAGCAGCAAGCAGCATGTCCCACAGTCCCAGGCTCGGCGCAGTTTTGCCGCCAGAGCTGTGCTGTGATAGCGACCAGCACCTGCTTTATTCAACCTTCAGTAACCCTGCAACAGAAGGGTCTTCCAAGAGGTGGGACCAGCCAGTTGCTTCATTTCCTCCATCTTCAAGGCTGCTACACTCACAGCCCACCAGGATTCTTCTGGGTCCTTGAAGTACCCACTCCTGAGATAGTCTATGCCCATGGAACCTCTGGGCCAGTCCCAGTGGGGCTTCTGCCACACATTCCCAGTCAGGCTGATTTCAGGCTCTAGCAGTCAGCTTCTGGAATCCCCCTCCAGAAACACAAGTGGGTTTTGCCCCTTCGCAGCCTGATCACGTCAGGGTACACTGTGCACCCGTATCTGCTACAGCCTTATACTGCTGGGGGGCTGACGTTATGGGCCACGTGATGCACACAGTCCAGTAAACAAGGCTGTCCCCTCTCTTCCACGTGGCTGGAGGCAGAGCCCCTCTAGTCTTGGCCATAGGTTTATCCAGCTCGCTTCTTGTGAAAATGGAGTGGAATTCCTTTCCATAGGATCAGGAGTAAGATCAGCCTTTCTACTCTGTCTGAGGAACTGCCCACTGCAGACCACAGTGGCAGCTTTCCTGGAAGAATCCCTTCTTGTGATTATTTTTCCTTGCAATTCATGTAGGGCTGAAGTAGAATTTCTATCCCACTTCCTCATGTTGTGTCTGTAGGCCTGCAGAAAAAGCCAGGGTCTCCCCTGCTGTGTACCCTCAATATCCTCCCTTGAGCAACACTTTCTGTTGTTTCTCCTTGAACAACACTCTGTTACCAGCTGAGGTTCCAGACCTTATATGTGGGGAGTAGAATCGAGATCCTCTTTGAGCTGCTCAACCAGTTTCTCCACAGCAGGGACAAGGGAGGAAGAGATTTTTCTGTGTACTGCTAGAGTTGGGGAGCCAATGCCTTCCCCACTGGTGCCTCTTTGTGTGTCCAGACAACACTGCCAGTGAGTTAGTGTACAATGACAGTGCACTCTGGTGTACATGTTTCTGATACACGGTTTGTGCGCATTAGGCTTCATCTGCATCTGTGAGCGACCATGTGTTGTCTGGGTCATAATAAATTATCTACCTCTAAGCATGGCTAGTTCCCTGCTGTACTGGGAACCTCTCTCCATTATGGTCCACTTGCCTGGGTGAAACAGAACATCTTCCTTGAAGAAATACCTTTCCTTGCAAGAGCTGCTTCCAGAGGCTGAGGACTTGTGTTACACTTCCAATCACCTTGTCAATTCACCCTTCCCTAGAAAATTATCACAGCTGCTTGGCTTCCCTACTGTCTAATTCCACCCCACCAGCCCCATTATCCCAGCAACTGAGCATCCAGGTGATAATGTGCTCACCTGGATGATGGCTGAAATCCTTTTGCATATCTCGCAGCTCACTCAGGGATAGGGATCAAGTGCCTCTTGTTCTGCCTCTTCCTCCTGTTCTTGTTATGACCCTGCTTTGTCCTTCTTTACTAAACAAGCCATCTTTCCTGTGCAATTCTCTTCCTTTTTTGAGGGGCAGCTGCTACAGACAGGGGCTGGTCCTCTGGTTCAGCTGCATCACCCACCCCTGGGGTGAGGAATCACAGCATCTGTGGGAACTGGAGTTTGAGTGCCGACTGTGCCTGTCGTGGGGGTTGGAGTAGCTGCAAATCATTTTTTGACCCTAAACAAGAGCTGAACCACATTCAGCCACTTGCTGGCTCCTACCAATAGGACCATGCTGGTTCCAACAGCCCAAGTGTATTCAAAATGTTCCTAATTCTCAAATGCTCTGGTAATTAGGCTGGAGAAGAAAGGGAGGCTGTGGGAATACGTCTCTCCTCCATAGGCAGGTTGGCCGAGGAATCGGTAAAAGATGTAATTGTGAATGATTCCCAACAGGTGTCATCCCACGCACAGGTGATGGCAGCGCTGAGACCTGACCAGGTGAATTAAAACAATACCCTCAGCCCTGCCCCGGGGGCAACAAACACAACAGGGTGCAGTAGTGCAAGCAAGGTGTTGGAGAACACAGCTCTGAGAGCAAACAAATCAACACCGTGACCAATGGCTATTAAACCACAAGGAATGGTTGTAACAAACTTGTTTCAACATGCACTGGTCAGATCTGTTGTTAACTTCAAGTCCCACGTCGAGGGTGCCAAAAAGGGCTGTTGTGGTTTAACCCCAGCTGGTAACTAAGCACCCTCCCTCACCCACCTCACTCCCAGTGGCACAAGGAGAAGGATTGGAAAAAGGTAAAACCCAGGTAAGAACAGTTGAGATAAGAACAGTTTAATGATTGAAATAAAGTAAAATATAATAATAATAGTAATAATAATAGTAGTAATAATAATAGAAGGAGAGAGAGAGAGAGGAGTAAAACTCAGAAAAAACAAGTGATGCTCAATACAATTGCTCAGCACCTGCTGACTGATGCTCAGTCCAGCCCTGAGCACTGACCAGTGCCTCCCAGAGAATTCCCCCCCAGCTTCTCTACTGGGAATGACACTCTATGGTGTGGAAGATCCCTTTGGCAGTTTGGGTCAACTGTCCAGGCCATGATCCTGCCTGGCTTCTTGTGCCCCTGCTCACTGGCAGAGCATGGGAAACTGAAAAGTCCTTGACTTAGTGTAAGCACTACTTAACTGAAACAGCAGTGTTATCAACATCATTCTCACACTAAATGCAAAACACAGCACTCTACCAGCTACTAAGAAGAAAATTAACTCTATCCCAGCTGAAACCCTGACAGGAAGGCATCTTACCCAGACATCTCCATGGATGGTCCTTTAGCTTGATAGAGAAAAACAAAACATCTATTAATAGGTTGTACAAGTAAAGAATTTAAAAATAAAAATTAAAACCAAAAGCATAGTGATTGTTTACTCCTGTCAGAGTAATTTCTCCTGGCTATCACAAAATTAATTACCTCATGTCATATCCTGATTATCTCCCAGGTCCCTTAAATCTCTCTTTCACAGAGAACCCTAGATCCCAAGCCCCAGATTTTAACCTAGACAATTTAAGCAATCTGAGACATCCAAATGCTCCAAACTTTACCAAATAATTTTCCATATATGGGATATTTTACTTATTTTCTGAAATAACTAGACATAAAAAAAAAAAAACACCTTAATGGTAAAAGACAAATCCTTAAATTTAATTGTATTACAGAGTGCAAGCAAAAAACCTAATCCCATAAACTAGTAATCTAAATTTGCTTCATGAGGACTAGAGAAGTAGATCGATTATACCTGAGTTGGAACCCCAAATCAAATTGTTATAGCTCTATAAGGGATCAGAAACCTCCTCAGGCCCTGTCTGCCTCTACATTGCCTGAGGCTGAGTTTCAGACCTGGGACTGCATGGGAACGGCGTAATTCTGGCCTGTATTTTATAACCTTTGCTTCCCTAGTGCCTGCCAGCACTATTAGTTACATGTTTTGCCCAATATGCTTGGAAAGCTTCAGCATATTTGCAGCCTAATTTGAGTCACCTAGCATTTCTAAGTAGATTCTTTGAATTGTGTTTAGTCATCTCTGAAGCTTCACCCCCACAAGTCTTTGCTGCTGAGACAAATGCAAGTTTAACTGTAATTTATTTGTCCCCAAAGAGAAGGGAACCATTCATTACCCTTTTTCTTCTTATGCAAAAACCACCATAAAGCAACTGCTCCTGCTCCTGCCATGGCTGTCAGGACAAATGCAGCAATGACTCCTTTCTGCCAGGCTGCTAAGATAACTGCAAATAAGAAAAACATGTTTAAGAGAGTAGTTGCAGGTCAACTCTACCAAATTCTGTAGCTCCTGACCTTCCATTTTACTACACATCAACCTTCTTACACACTGGGGAAGATCTTGGAAGAGACTTGTGTGCCAAGTTCTCTAGTGAGCCTCTCCTTTGTGACCAAAAGCTCAGTACATCAACAGCATGGTTTTAGTTTGTATCTTGCTCCTTTGGCTTTTGGGCATCCCCTAAATTTGTCTATGTAAGCTGGACAATCTCTGTTTATAAAGACATCTCTCTGTTTAACTTCTAACAGCAGTGGAACAAAAACCACCAGTAAGGTGGTATTAACAACATCTCAAATCAGATGGCCCCACCTGTAAAGGTGACAGAATAGGCAGCTTATCATTAATGAGCTCACCACTGATGGTTATTGGACGGCTCCTCACGTCCACGCTGGCTCGGTTCGAAGCCATGCAATAATAGGTCCCTGTGTCCTTCCTCTTCATTGTCCTCTTGTGCCATATGGTTCTGTCTGAATATTCCCTTACTTCATGTAGAAGAACTTCATGATCAGTTTTTTTAAAAAACTTGAAGTCAATTGGCCAAGATCCTTCTTTCACAGAGCAGAGGAAAGCAGTATCACTGCCAACTTCTACTTCTCCATATGGAACACTGCCCAAACTGGCACCCCTGATTGGTACTACAGAGGAAGGCACAAAGAAAACAAATATTAGCACTATTAGAAATAACTTTGATGACAAAATATTGTATTGTAGAAATGCTTGCTTTAATGCTTAGTTAAACAGAGACTGAATGCACAGTATTAATCTTTCTGAACAGTCTCTGCCAGACAGCATCCTCTAGTAAATACTTTTATACACCTAGAAATAGAGAGGGCACGATAAAGAAGCAAAGCAGACACAGGAAGAAATTATATCCATTCCACAGAGGTCAGTCAGTCTCTTTCTTTAAAATCCTTTGAATGCTCCTCTGGCCCCAGCCTACAATTGATTTAATTTCCAGAAATAATATACTCAGCAGTTCCATTGTTTAAATAATTACAGTGCAATTTATGTAGTTCTGTTTTCATAGTTATGTAGAGTTTTGCTGGTTTATGCTAACTCTGTGGTAAGTGTGTTCTTGTAACTTTTAATATACAATAGAGGGTGTCAAGAGATATTGGATTGAGTTCTCCAAAAGCATAAACAAATCCCAAATTTCAATAGTTACAGAATATAGCAAACATAAGGAGAAAAGTTAGTTTGCATTTGAAGAAGTTGTAAGAATATGCATAGCCAAACCATAGATTTTAAGTTTGCTGGTTTACAGATGAAGCATATGAGAATACACAAAACTAGCCTAGGAGCAGATGAACTTCAGCCTTTGTAATTACAGGGGGAGAAAATGGACACACATCATGTGATGCAAGACATGTACAATGTCAGCAGCTTTGCAAAATGTTTGGGATTCATGTTTTGCTAAAATTCCTAAAGAAAAATTCTCTGAAAATATTATAAATATATTTGGGGAAGAGCTGTGGATAACACAAGGCAGATATAAAGAAGGAATCATTAAGGCAACACTGGTGCAGAAGCAGAGGAAGGAAACCAGATTTGATATGAAAAGATGGTGGTCATGGAAGTTGTATTTGTATTAGGAAGCAGATTTAGATATAAGACATGGGTTACTATGACTGAGCTCCTGACAGACAGAATTGCTCTGGAAAACGTAAGTCCTTTTCCAGATCTGGTACAGACAAAGAACAGAATACAAAGAATTTGAAGTCACCACCTCACCAGTGATGGGTGGAAGGCGTGGAAGATGGGCTAACAAGGCTCCAAACAACAACCTTCTCTTCAGAACTTCTAAACAGTGTCACAATACATCCCAAACCACAGCTCTGACCGCTGAGATACACCAGTTCCAGCAAAGAAATAGCCACTTGTTAATGGACTAAGATTATGTTTTGTGTTTGTTTGTTTGTACATTGTTATTTCAAAATACCTTGACTTTAAATCTCCCTAAACTCTGAAGAGTTTTATCATTCAGCTTTTATCTACTGTTAGTAAACAGTGGAACTGATGAATTTAAGGTGAGTCCTAAGGTGCTGCAGTCTGGGTGAATGCAAATACTGTATTAAAAAGCCCTGTTTGGGAGCTCAGCCAGTGGAGAGTGTGCAATAATCCAACTGACTCAAAGGAAATGCAACAATTCTGCATTTATCTGTTCTAGTCATACATAACTCAGTGTCAAAACTCAGAAGGAAAACAGCCTATTAACCACAAGTTTATCTTATTAAGACCAACACAATTGGGGTTTAAACCAGGATGCAAAGCAGAAAACTCCTTGGTAAAGAGAAATTACCTCTTCTTTTTCAAAGATCAAGAATTGACTTCTGCTCTGGTCCTGGACTACTGTGCTGTAATAGGCAACTATTTTTAACTCAAATAAGCAAGAAATTGTAAACATTTCACATCCATTTTGCTTAGCCCACCATTTGCTGCTACAGTTTCAAAACTCTAAATACTACATTAGACAAGAAGAAGAATTAAACAGACTTACCTATCACTGTGACATTTAGAATATTGCTAGTTTTCACACCACTGGAGTGATTGTTTCTAGCATCACATTTGTATACTCCATTATCATTTAGTCCAATATCTTCATCCAAGAATGTAGCATATGTGTCATTAGTTACATTTTTCCTCATTTCATTCCCTTTGTAGAAGGTGAATGTTATTGGGGGCGTTCCCATTGCTGAATGACAGATTAATTGTAGAGGCTTCCCTAATACCACCTCTGGTGAACCACTGACAACAGAAAGAGTTGGCTTGGAGACTGGAGCTAAAAGGTAAATAAAAAAAATTGCTGCAAATTACACTGCATAAGGCCAAAAGACACAATAGTATTTTGTAGAAAACATAAATATACAATATTTAGCTAGTTTGCACACACAGTCTAATATTGGGAAGCTCTTCCTCATCGATAGAATGGAAATAAGGGGACTTGAACAAATCAATAGCATAGATAATAGAAATATGTGACTGAATAAAGCATCATACAGTGACAATATGAAGTGAAACAAGGAAAGGATCAATGACACAGCTGTGGATCATCCAAATTCCAAAAGTAGTTCTGACCCAAGGAACAAGTCTGCTCCAGGTATGACCTGAGAGAGATTGCACAGCTCCTCCTCAGGGCCCTGTTCCAGCAGCACAGTGAATAATCCAGTTCATTCCTTGGACAGAACCACTGTGCCTGTTCCATGAGAGGGAAGGGCACCGGAGTACTCATACCTGGTGAGCTGGTGAGGGGGCTGTGTTTATAGCAATGAGCCCTTGGCTTTTCTAGAGTAGAGCCAACCAGATGACCTCTGGCTCTCCTGGCTTTCTGCCTGGAGAGTCAGGGGCAGGGATTCAAGGCAGACACTGACAGAGCTTCAGATCAAAGTGAAAGTTTTGCAGAACATTCCTGGCTCCTGCAAATGGTAGTGAATGAGTGTTTATCTGCTCCCTACCAGAACCTAGGGACCAGCAGGAAGGCATTCCAACTCCCTTTCTGAGGGCCAGCCCTGGAAAGAATGACTTCATTATATCACAATATACCAAATCTTCTGCAGCTAAAGAACATCCCACAGAAATTCATGTGATAAGAACTCATAGACACCTGCTAGTTCATGTACAGGAGACCGATTCTGTAAATAGATGTTCTTATTTATAAGCTTCTGGTTTAGATCCTTTCCCCCCCACCCTGGTGGTTCTAAGCCTCTGTATCAACTCACCATAAACACTTATCCTTACAGGTTTGCTCTCCTTGACTATTCCTTTTACTTCAGCTTTGCAGATGTAAGATCCAGTATCATTCACATTAACTTTAATTGCTAAGAATCTAGACTTTTTCAACAGGATGTCTCCACTGGAACTTTTCCGTAGTATAGAGAAGTTGGCTCTCCGTAAACCATTAATGCTGCAGTTCAAACTTAAATCTTTATTTTCATCCAACTCAGTCACAGAAGCAAACAGTGTTGGCTTGGGGAATAGTTCTGCAAGATAAAGAGAGCTGATTCATTCAAAATGATCATGGAAGAATATGACTACTTATCTCAAAGTATACGGAATGAAGGACGTACTGATAGTTTATAATTTGGGAACAAAATAATCATGTTATTTTAATATTATTGTATTTTCAGAGAAAACAGAATCTTAGCATTTGCTTGAAACCACTTTTCACAGGTTGTTTGAGGATATTATTTTAGTTGGGAAGTATAGATGGGCAAAAATCAGAGACTAAAATCTAACTAGCCTTTAACTTACAGATAATTTACACTTGGATCTGGAGGTTACACTTGGATCCTGAGTTCTGCCAAATTTAAATATTAATACTTTGAGTAAAATCTAAGTTGTTTTACCTGACACAAAGACATTCAGTTTGGTGGTTTTAGACACTGCTCCTTGCTCCACCTTACACAGGTATTCACCACTGTCCTCTTGAGTAGCTACTGTAGAGTATTTCAAAAATTTCTTATCTCGTACACTGTTCAGTATTGTTCTATTTTTCTGGAAGATGATTTCAATGTCACGCATTTGAGCTACCACAGTTGAGCATTCAAATTCTATTGGGTCTCCTTCTGTAATGTTATTGGAGGGCCTGGTGATCAGAGTGGGCTTTATAAATGATTCTGCAAGAGAACACATATAAACATGCAGATAGATAGATATACATATAAATATGTGAACCAATTTTTATCTATGGCTAGCAAAGAAATGTAAAAAGAAAAGTTAAACAATTTACCCTTGACTGTAACAAGTGTTTTGTTGCTGTGTTGGGAGCTATCCCATCCAGATCTTACTTGTCTCTTGCCAAAGCAATCAAATTGTAAAATATTATCTTCTGCTTCAACATAATATTCCATTTCAGAAAAATTTTGGTTTTGTTCAAGTATGTGTTTTTCTTTAGGCGCTGAATTTGTCTTTAACTTCCGGAAAAAGAACACTAAAGGAGGTACTTCTTCTGGCAGCTCGCAACGTAATTTCACAATTTCACCCTCTAAGACTTCTTTTTTGTCAGCAGTCAGGATTGGCTTGGTCATTCCTTACAACAGAAAACAAGAAAAGAAACTGAATATTGCATAATTCTGAAATAAACAGTACCTCTGATGATTGTAAGAATGATTTATACTGATTAACAGATGCAAATAGTTTGCAACACCCAAAAGATGACCCCGTAACTACTCAGTGCTGACAAATTCTGTCCATGATGCTTTTCCAATGGGAAATGTCACCTGCAGTCAAGAACATGTCTAGAAAGTGTATGGAGGAAGGTGGCCTTTGTTCTCATACAAGATGAAAGAACAAGACTGAGACAACATTTTCTACAAAAGGGGCCCATGGCTGATGCTGGCTTTGGTGATGGCTCTCACACCCTGAGCATCCCTGGCATTTCCAGGAATATTCCCACCCCTATCATGGTTATTGGGGTGGGCACAACTTTCACAAATAATTCTTTCTCTAGTCTAGGGAACAGAGGCTCAGGATAGTAGGGATGTTTGCACAGACTGTATTCCTGACTAGCACTGATCTGTCCTGGAGCCTTGGTGTCCTGAGTTCATTTCTGTGCCTTAACATGGGGGATTAGTACCAAACTCTCATCAAGTACCATGATGTCAAAAATAAAACACACTTTGCAAGATATCCTGTTTAAGCACTGACTATTATTCCTTCCCTTTAAGGTTATTCTCTCTCTGTATATCTCATCTGCAATGTCTGACAGAACACTCACCTGCTACCCAAACATAGGTGGTGTTACTGAAACCCAGCTTGCCATCTACCTTCACAGTACATTCATAGTCTCCTGTATCTGAAGATTTGGCCACAGGTATTTCATATTGTGCAACTTTCTTGTCTGATATGGTCATAAACACAAGCTTCCCATCCTTAAAAAATGTAAAATTGTGCTTCAGCTGGAAATCAGTATTTTTGATAATATCAGCGTGGCAGATGATTGACATTGGAGCTCCATTCTTCACTCTGACAGACGGCTGAACCTGGATTTCAACTCTGTTGAAAGTAAAAACTTGACAGAAAATAAAAAAGAAAAAGTTATATTTATTTTAAATTAATCCAACATAACACAGTTATTTCAAGCTGCTACATTTAAATTACAAATATTAATTTTAAAATTCACATTTCATTTGATAGGAATATTGTAATTTGAATTGATAAGTGCTTTTAGAAATAAAAGTTCATGGTAGTATTTATATAAAGATGTATATGTGTATAGAAATGTATGTGCATAGAAATATATTCTGGTTTTATAACCACAGCAAGAAAAAGAATTTGTAGCTTAAATGTTACAACTGTTAGACTCCTGGTATAATTGATATTTATATTCTTACATCTCGAGGAACAGGTATAGAGAAAGATGTATTAGTTAATTCACTTTCTCTTCCTTCTGGGCTATGCCCATTTTGGTCAGGATTTGTATTAGAAATTGCTACTCAAATTGAAAAACTTTCCAATATCTAAAGAAGTCCCTTGTCTTCCAGCTATTTATAGCGTGTCCTTGCTAGAGAGAGTCTGGGCCATAAAATCAGTGAAAAGCTGTGAATTTCTTTGCATGTGAATAAACCACATGACAGCAAGAAATAAACATTTCTCCCATTTCTCCCATTTCTTTCCATTTTGATGGGAAAAAGGAAGCATACAGAATGTACGTGCTGGGAGTTAGCAGGATGATAAGATAAAAAGCATACATGTTCATTTCAGAACATGAATTCTGAACTCTGCTTAGACATGATCAATTCTTTTGCAAGACCAAGAGATAGTGCCCTTAATTTATATTCTATAATTTTATCCTTCGTCCTTTCTTGTGGGCATGAGAGGGATTTTTACACATCAAAACAAAATGCTAATTTTCTCTCCCACCTCTTTTGCGGCTTAGTAAAGCAAATTAGTCTAGGAAAGATTTCACCAAAACCATTATTAAGGTATAAGTAGCCCATCTCTGATTTAAACACTACCAAGAAACACCAGCAAGTAAGCCCTTTTTTTTTTTTTATCATATGGCCAAATTTCATACTGAGCTATTGTACAGCAAATCCAAATAAACTCTGTTACAGATGCATACCAACCAAGGAATTAGTTAAATCAGTTATATTTAATTTCTACACAGACTACCCCAACAGAACAACAAAAATATACCATTCCTTACCTTTCTCCTGAGCATAAAGTTCTGAACCTGGAAAAAAAAAAAAGAGAAGAAATGTTGTTTTCAAAGCTTACAGATTGAGAAACAGTAATGCAAAACTGTAAAAAGTTTCAACCAACGCCACACAAACCAGAAACACATGTACCCACCCAGAGATTTACTTATCAAACTTACACTGCAAGAAAATCACCAGAAAAGCAAGATACATCTCGTTCCTAGGGGACAGACACTTTAATTCCAAAATAAAACAATATTCATTATCGGAGGTGATGCCTCCAGGTACCAAAACCACGTTATGCTTTTTTCCCTTGCTGTTTTATGGAAACAGATTAAAATTTGCCATTAAAATTTGTACGTTTTCCCAGATCTTCAGCAGAAACTGGCTGGATCAAGTAATCGTTCCCATTACTGGAAACTGGAAATGGCAAACAATGAGAATGTATCTGCTGCTCCCAGGCAGATTACTGATCAGGAAGTGACTGGACTTTTCCTGAGGGCGCTACCAAATGCATTTGCTTTGTTTAATTTCTTAAGGTGTATTAAAAAAACAAGAAGTTCCAATGACATTATCCTGCAGTTCCTGTCAATATGGGTATTTTAAAGTCATGATTAACCATTTAGGAACACAAATTACCTTTGCTACTTGACCTCAGCAGATACTTAAGCAAATACTTCCCTCCATCCTAACAGAAGACTCTTTCAGAGAATAGATGTAAATAATAACTTGTTTTCGCCCTTTACCTCCATTTCTAGGTCTTCCATTTTTGCTGTGGCAAAGAACAGCTTTACTGTAGGTTACACAATAAATTCAAATTATCTCAAAAAGCAGAGGTACTGTTGTGTGAGACTAGAGTATTGACAGGTGGATCTCTCATACTAATATAATACATCAAAAACATGGATCTGCACCAGATTTTATTTTATGCAGTTAGGACAGCGCAAAGGACACACAATCACAAGCCTTAAACCCCTCAGGAAAGAATCAGATGGAGTTGCAATTCTCAGCAGAAATCTGCAGCAGCACTGGCACAATTTGAAACAGAGAACTTCTCTGTTGTCCAGGATATTCCTCTCAGCATATCAGCCTACTTTTAAGTCACACTTAAGCCATTCCCTCCAGCCCTGATACTGACTGAAGCCTACAGGCCAGACAAAGTGAGTTAAAACAAAGCCCTTCGGAAAGGTTCTCAAGATGTGTGACCCAGAACTCCCCAAGCTGTGATTTAGTTATTCTTGAAAACTGAGTGCTCAGCTCTTTGTTCTTTCCCCTGTGGCCAGAGCCAATGCTTTCCTTAAAATCCAGCAACATTTTCCAGACTTGTTAAAACACTGCAAAAAACAATGCAAAATACATTCACAGAAGTCTATAAATGAGACAGATAGTTCTCATAAGCTTCACTGTTCACATGAAATCACTTTCTTTCCTCCTGGGGTGAATGAAAGCTGTAGTTTTCCCCTCAAACCACTATTTTAAAACTGTAAGTCTACATCCACATCAGCGTGGAATTTTCCAAAAGGAAACAGAAGAAAAACACTCATCTATTTAACAATGTAATGGCTGGATGAACGAGGCCTCTCAGGCTGTTTTACAGAATGGCACAATAGTCACAGCAATTAAGACTAAGCTGGTAACTAGCAATGGTGTTTGTCCTGCTCAGTCCAGGCTGTTTGAAACAACCCCCAACAAAAGACCTGGTGGCTTGGCCAGCTGTCAAACCATGGTCCCCAGAGACAGGTAAAGGAAAGGAGTAGGACACATGGCAGGTGGAGAACAAAGGTAAATCAACTTTTGCTACTGGTAACAAAAAAATAGGAAGGAAGGAGATTTTCCCCTTCCCTCTTTCCCCGTAGAAGAATTCAACAGGACACAAAAAGCTCAGCAAAATCACATCAGTCTTTCCCACGGGGGACAAACATTCCTCTGAGCCCCAGTGGGGGAAGGAGGGTGAGGGTGGGCCAATATCCTTCAGAGTGGACCAGCAGGGCTCAGGTCAGAGCCAGGTTCAAGTGGAAAGGCCAGCTTTAGGATGAAATAGCTCAGGATTAAGGTTTAGTGGTGCCAAAACTGGAGGCTGTTGCCAGATATCACTCCCAAATTAAGTCCATTTCACAAGATTCTACAGGCTTTTTAAACTGTCATATTCCTGACAAGCCTCAACACATCTTGGAGAGGAAAATCAAGCTGCCATTGACCAAAACCCAAGAATTAAATTCTACTGCAGGAATTTAAGCCAAAATAACATGAAATTTGAGAGAAAAACATTTTAAACACACAAGAACATTATGATACCATCTTACATGCTTAAACTGGAAACCATATTGACCTAAAGGATGTAAATTTAAAGTATCTGTGCCAGTAACACAAATGCATATTTTCCTAACAGCCATTTTAATGCCATCTCTCAAGATACATACTTCTGAATTACATAAGATCAAATTTATCCTAATTCACATCATATTAAAAACTATTCAATCTATTAAATCCCTATTACATCTGTGGGAAAAGCAGGATTGACTTCAGAAATGCAACACACCTTCTGAAGCAACCAGAATAGCCATTATAATCTGACTAAATGCCCTTTACAACCCATGGGAATCATCACATTTAATCTACTGCCAATGAATTGGACCCTTACACATTAAACCACATCTGGGAATTCACAATCTCTGTTTCTACTGGCTGGATCCTCTGCTACTTGCTCACGTGTGACATTTCCTAAGAGCCACCAGCTCTGGCAAGTGAACAGAGCTTTGCTGAAATGAGAGGCAAAGCCTATTTCCCTAACTAAAGGAAAAACGCTGAATGAGATTTTCAAATTTTTTCCCTCTGCAAATAGAGTGTTTTTAACCAGTCCCTTATGACAGGAAAGGGAGCTCAGAGTTCCCAGCACACTGCAGCTGTTTGCTTCCAGGTGCTCGCAGCAGAGAGCAGCTGTGGTGCCAGCCTCCAGCACGGACACCTCACATTCCACACACCAATTGCAGCCAAAATTCTGGGGCCCCCAGACTTGGTCCCCTGGTCTCAAATGCCCATTCCTGATGGCATTTTCACTTTCTTCAGAAAAGATGAAGGCTTCGTGTGTGTCGCCTTCCAGTTCTGACTGATTTTTTTAAACATTTTTTGGCTCAGAAATCTTGTCATTGATCATGGAGGTTCCACATAATTTCATCTGTAGGTTCACTGATTTTAAATACAGTTCACTGCTATAGAGGTGTATCTACAAATGTTTAGGATTTTTCTAAATTTTATTTTAAAAATTTAGAAATCAATGCCTATCTACACTGAAGTCAACACTAGTTTTCCAGTAATTAAATCAAGAACAGCTCTGATTTTTAATCCCTCAATTCCTGACACATATAATGGTTTAACTGCTTTGATTCCTTACAGCTGTGAACTGTTTTGCTTACTTATCAATTCCTGTTTCAGTATACTCACAGATAATAGAACTACAACAACATTGCTGTTTTCACAAGTCTAGACAAATCCCTGGTGAGCTGGGAATGAAACAAATTCTTTCTACACATATTATCTTCTCTTTAAAGTGGGACATTTGCATCAGTTATTTTTGTTTTAAAAGCATGTCTTTATACCTCCCTAGAGAAGAATAAAAATTTTTCTCCATGAATGCCTACAAGAACATTAAAGAAATTAATATTGCCTTTTTTTGAGAAGTCTGGAAGTTCCACAATCTACAATTTACAGAAACTCTGTATTGCCCAGTTGGTCTGGGTATAAATTACATTTCACAATGGCACCATCTGCTGGGAGATGAGCAAGACAGTGAAGCACACTGGGCTTCCCTCATTGCCCCCTTTCACAATTGTTTGATATCCAACACCTCCTCCAAATAGCAACATAAATTAAACCTGTAGGTTTAATTAAATTAATTAAAGGAACCAGAAGGTTGATAATGACAGAATATCACTGAGGCTTTTACCCTGAAACTTCTACTTTTAATACAACAGGAGCTAATTATTACTATTTGGTTTTATGCTTCCTCACTGATACAGTGCAACATTGGAAAGAGCACTAGAAATCTATCTTGATTTGTATTTCACACTACACACATTTCCACGTACCTTAGACATTCTTTCAGACAAATAAGAGAAATTCCTTCTTTCAGAGATGTGAAATTAACTGATGATTACAATGATCATGGTCTGTGGGAACACCTGGAACTTTCTCTGTGCCAGTAGTGTGTGACTGATTCAGCTCCTCAAGGACATTTTTAGCTGCTGTCCACTACTGGATGAACAAGTTCCTCAGTTCAGAAAAACACATCACACCCTGTCACTGTCACACGTGCCCTTTACTGGCAATGGACCAGGATTTGTTTAACATCCAGCATTTCCAGATGGAGCTGGAAAACAGCCTCAAGCTCTGCAGCAATATCCATCAGAGTATCAGCAGTGACAGAGAAGAGGTCAGTAACTTCTGGCTGCAGAGGGAATTAATCCTGGAAATATTTTTCCTTCTCTTACCATTATTTTAATACTGCTTGATGATTCCACAAGCATTATTCCACATCAGTTTCATTAGTAAAATTCAGTTGGTAGTGACTCAACGAGCTGATCCAAGTTGACAGAAAATCTTTCAGCAGGCTGTGCAAACTAAGAGGCAGAATTGATTTACTCCTGATCTGCTGCAGGTGCCCACACACAGCCAGCCATTGCTGCTGCTCATAAAACTGATTTATGATTGCACAGTGGGGCAGATACTCCTCAGATACACCTCAGAGTACACCAAGAGAGGCTTGAAAAAGGCTGGAAAATAGATATAATCTATTTTCTATAGATATAATCTATTATCTATCCTGGAATATGTGTTCTTTTTTAAAAAGTTTTTTCATTAAATAAGGTAAGTATTGGGGGAGGCAGGGGGGAAGTTTAACTTTCATCAGAGGTTAGGAACCAAAAAAATGTTAAAATTACACCTGTGAGTAAACTGAATGATTAAGCTAACAGAGCACTCTAGTCTGCACTCTTACAGCAATTCCTGAAAATATTTGTCTGGAACACTTTTCATGCAGTGATGTTTGAATTTATCCCAAGAGAAATGCATTAGTAATCCCAGTTTTCAGTATTTCATTTTTTCTTTTTTCTATTGTTGGGAGATGATTTGGAGGACAGACATGCCATTTAAAAATATTTAATCTTTGGGGGATTTAGGAGCTGCTAGGTTTATTAAATTGGGTACCCAAAAGTTCCTTTCACCTGCTGACATGTTCTTTGCAATCTGCAATCAATTGAAAAGCATTCACTATGTCAAAATTCTCATTCGTAACAGAAGAAATTTAAAGTTACCTTAAATATGCATAGAAGAGAGATCCTTTCCTCTTCTTCTTATTTGTCCTCCAGAAAAACAATTCTTTCATAATCAAGCACCATGTTTGAAATAAACAGCAGACTTGCCCCCACAGCCTTTTTGAGTAGGAATGTGAAAATCTAGTATTGAGTAACCTGCCTATATAAGTAAAACCTTTTTGCAGACAAAACAGAAGCCTTGATTTAATTCATCACCAGACATAATTGTCAGTTCATGTGATTTCTGGCAAACCTTCTGCAGACAACCACTGCAGCAGATGCTCCTCCAAAATGCAGGACCTCTCAGGATGAGAAACTGGGACTGGGAATAACAATATATAATAATTCTTATAATTTTGCTGAGACACACACATTTCTTGGAAGCCTGTGACACAACAGACACAATGTGATGCCATCACAGCCTTACTACAGAACACTATCCCAGCATTTTCATCCTCAAGTTAAAGAACTGACCTTGTGAATGAGAGCACAGTTTGGCTTATTGCCTTCCACCTGCTCACTTGAGGCGGAATATTGTCACAGCAACAAGTGATACATATTTCCCTTTCTGTTTTAACTTACTTGTTTTGGTTGGATGACTTCTGTTCTGTTCTGCCATGTTCTGATGCTCAATAATCTTTGTCAAATTTATCCAGTTCTCTTTACATGTACAACCACATTAATTCCAGGCAGGAAATTTGCAAATCTAATAAAAAGGGAACTCCAAGCTCACACAGTACCTTACTGCTGCTATAAAACTCTGTACACATGGTGAAAAAACCAACATCCTCTTAGTCCAAAGGCAATATCCAGCTCTGCCTGAAAACAATCCAGATGGAAGAAAATTTCTCACTTCCAAACGGAAGCCAGAGGCTTGGACCAGCACTTGTCTTCCCTGGACACTCAGGCTGAGCATCCTGAGGGAGCCTGCACACCATGAAAGCTGCTGTATAGGAGAGATTCTGGTGAGACCTAAACTTTTATTTTTTAGAAGGTATGGCTAAATTCACAGCTCCTTTGCTTTGTAACTATTCCCCTTTACCCACACAGCTTCTTAGAAAAAGCATTGGGTTGCAGGTGGGCACCAGCAGCCAGGGCTCCTGAGGGCTGTTTGTGAAGGTTTCTGACAAGAGCAGGCTCCCACAACAGCAAAATGCACAAACAGCCCCATCCTCCCTGCCACAGCTGCACTTTCACACGTGCTTCCTGACAGCTGGGAAAAGATGTTCTGCTCTTGTGGTTTGTTGACAGCGTTTCCACATCAGAAACATTTCTGAGAGGAGACTGTCTAAAAAGAAATTTAAAAAGAAAACAAACCCAAACAAGTAAACCTCCACCAAAATTTAAAAAATGAGGAGGAAGGAAGTGTACACAACGTTCTGTGAGGAAATTTTGCAATGCTGCAACATCCCAGGATTGGAGAGTGATTCTGCATGACCCAGGGAAGGGCTGCAGGGCTTGTTTTGTTGCCTTCAGTAAGTGGAAAGAAAGAAATAAGAAATAAGACAAGGATTGCTATTAAGTAATTTTTTGTGTAAGCAATTGTACAACAGGGCCTGGAGTCCTGCAGAAGGCATTGCCCGTGCATAGCTGACTCGATTTGCTTCACCCAGAGGAAAAAACATCTGTTTGCCAAGCCTGTCATTATGTAGCTTTGTATTACTGATTATTTAATCATATTAGTCATCAGGTTTGTTTATGCAGTAGTGTTGAACTCAAATTCTTTATGAGATCTGTACCTTCTAATACAAGATCTCACTTCTTTATAGCTTAATATTTGAAGCTCAACTAAAATATTTTCTTAACAAGCTGGCTAGCTATAAATACTTATTAGCATCTTAAAACTTCTATAGATTTTAGACTTTTTTAGACTGTTTTTTTTTTAATTATATTGCTGCTACAAACACACTCAGTGCCACATACTTCCTTAGTCTCAGCTATATTATCACTTGCCCTATCTCTAGCAAATATGTGTCTCTTTGATATGGATCAAAACAGAACAGAACACTGTTCCCAGAACAGTGCTGGAAAATCTACTCAAAAGGAGGAAGGTGGGGGCTGGTCTTTCCTACCAAGCAACAAGTGATAGGACAAGAGAAATCAGCCTCAAGGTGCACTGGAGGCGGTTTAGATTGGATATTATGAAAAATTTCTTCATGGAAAAGGTTAGACATTGGCACAGGTTGCCCTGGGAAGTGGTGGAATCACCTGGAGGGATTTAAACACATGCAGATGTGGCACTTGGGGACAGGGTTTAGTGGTTGACCTGACAGTGCTGGGGGAATAGTTGAAACTCAATGCTCTTACAGGCCTTTTCCACCTTCAGTGACTCCCTGGTTCTGAACTGCAGGGCAGGATGGCTCTACCACACAACCCACAGGAGAAACTGCTGCTCACATCAGCCATGTCTCAGGACAGCTGGACACAACATCCACCTGTGTCCCAAACTGCTGCTCACAACATCCACCTGTGTCCCAAACTGCTGCTCACAACATCCACCTGTGTCCCAAACTGCTGCTCCCCACCCCACTGCTCCTCTCCCTGCCATAAGCTGAATGTATGTGAAATATGACAAAATTCTCCACAGAAACATGAATAAAGATTAGCACTGATTAGCGCAGTTTCCATATTTAGAACTTCCTCAAATCCTAGAGCCACTCCTCCATCTCCTTCAGAAGAAATATCTCCGCCATGTAACTCCACCAGCTTTCTTGGCCAGAATGCAGAAAATGCCTTTTCTTGCAATTCTGCTGTTTTCCTACTGTAAGCTAAGGACATGTTTCTTTCATACTACAAATCTTTCTAAAGCAGAACCATTGTTTCTTATCTGAAAGATTTTCTTTTTCTTCTCTTAGCTCAAATGTCTCAGCAGATACAGAAAACTACTCCAAATGCAAAAGGTAGGTTCTCTTCTTGATTCTGAGGTATGTGCTGAGATTGACTGTTAGCCAAATGGGGAGGAATTTAAAAATGTCTAAACGTTTCATGCCAAATTAAATCTTTTGCCTCTCTGTGCAGTGAGTCAGTTTAAAAGTTTCTATACAAAGTTAACTATCTCTTTGCTGACCTGTATATAAAGTCAAAATTGCTTTAACTTGTTACAACACTTTTTCCCCCACGGAAATGTTGTAATTTATTTTAGACATTACTAGTTCAGTATCATTTCCTATGGAAAGACAGGATTTTATTGCAAATTCATTTGTATAAGATCATGAAAGGAAACAAATTTGAGAGATAATCAAGGCCCTTACTGCTATTATTCATATGTTCAATCTACTTACACAAGGTTAGTTTTGTGTGTTAATAGACAGCCACAAATAAAATACTACTTTTGCTTTCAGGTTCACATGCGACCTCTCAACTAATATATAAGGTTACTTTCTCCTACAATTATTACTCCACAATATTTGAGTTAATCTTTTATACTTCTATTATTTTAACTGCTGCTGTAGTTCAAAGTTATTGTTGATGGCTCATCTGAACACATCAGTGGACTTTTTGTGGCTGTGCCTCTTGCACAAATAAAGGCACTTTTCATCATGTGTGAAGCTGCATTCTGGTTTTGAAAAGTAATTGAGCTGCCAGCTATCAGAGGTGGAAAAAGTATAATGGCCCATTTCAACATAAATAAGCATAGCTTGGTTGTCAACGTATTTTGGGAAAAATCTGGGGCTTTCTTGGGTCATAGGTGGAGTCAACTCAGAAGTTTTTTCTTTCCAGAGATGGTGTCCAATCCCAAGCTTGTATTGGTTCAGGGGACTTTGAATGTGGTGATGAAGCAGAATGTTACCCTCTCCTGCCTCTCTGAGCCTGGATCTCCACCTGTTAGATATGCACTGTTCAAGCACAACCAGCAGGTATCTGCTTTAAACAGGTCAGACTTGAGCCCTGCACTGTTCACCCTGACCATCAGCTCTGCCAGTGATGTTGGGGAATACAAGTGCAAAGCTGAGTATAACAACTCCAGTGGTGGAAAATACAGCAACAGCCTCAACTTCACCCTCTTAGGTACGTCTTGCTGCCCACCTTCCCAGCACTGGCTATTGCAGAGGCACACAGCCATTTTCTTCCTTGACTGAGGAGCTGAACCTTTCTGCTGTTCTTACTGTTCTTACCTCAGGAGCTGGCAGTGCTCTCCCACCCGGGCTCACAACCCCTCCATCCTCCATGCCAGCTCTTTTGCCAGTGTTGTCACATCTCTCCTAGTCTTGCCTGGAGCTTGTCCTGTGTTCTGTGATTCAGACTTTTCAGTTTTCTTTCTACAGAGCCAATTTCCAAACCAGTGCTGAGCTCACCAACCTCTCGGGCAAAGAAAGGCCAGAATGTGACCCTGTCCTGTTTCTCAGAGAACGGAACCCTTCCCATCACGTATTTATTCTTCAAAGGAACACAAAACATTTCTCCCCAAAAGACAATGCAGAAGAGGGAAGCAGCTGTGATTTTTCTATTTATCAATTCCCTTAGTGACTTTGGAACCTACAAATGCAAAGCAAATAACAGTTTTCCCAATAATACAAAATACAGCAACAGTTTCAACTTTACATTAGCAGGTATGAATGAAAAAAGGTTACTACTGTTGGCAAACTGGGATCACACAAAATTCAGAATGTTGTAACTATGCAAGTTTTTAGCCAAATATTTTGATCCTGCAATGTGATATTCAAAATACAATTTCTTAAATTAAAAATTTGAGGTTTAAAAATTAATGCAAAACCACAGAATTCCATGCATCCTAGATTGCACTAGAAGTTGAAGTGACCATGGAAAATGTCTGTAAAAGACTCACTTTTGCAAGAGACCCCTGGTCCACCTTGCAGAGAGTCTGGTTTCATTTTTCCTCCTGGTCCCATGAAAGAGCTTAACTGGCACCAGCAAACTGCTTTCCTTCTGCTGGGCACAGAGCCCTTGGGACTCTCATGTACAGTAACATTAACCCCAGTTAATCTAAAAGCTGAAAGAAATTTAAATTTAAAGTCTTGATTTCAATTTACAAAAAATACTTAAAATATGAAACAACACTTGATTGCATAAAACCTTTTTTTTTTTCCTTCTTTTTGGCAGAAGAGAGAAGCCATTCTCAGCCCCTGATAATTTCTCTTGGGCTGATCCTGCTACTACTTATAATAGGACTTGCTCTGGCAATTCCATTTTTCATAATTCCTTTGTATAAAGCAAGTGAGTTATTTGAATATCTGTTTCTTATTCCAAAGGTCATTTATATTGTCAATATATTTCAGTGTGTAAACATCACGTTTTCAGTAGAGTAGCTCCTGGTATTTTATCATGGTGCTGAATCTCCTCTGAAGCAGCACCAGCAGCTCAACAAGACTTTGACAAGGCCAAATCTCTGAGCTGTGTTTTAGATTAAAGATCTGGGGTGGGGGAGGCAAAGCAACAGCTAATGTAATGCACAAAAACACTGGAAATTATTAAAATGCCCTTGGTTAAAGAATAATTTTGATTGTGAAAATTACATTACCTGAGATCTCCAAATATTAAAAAATACATTGAAACTGTTTATTTCTAAGAAATATATATACACAACACATTTTTCTTTTACAATTTGCAGAAAAATTTAAGTCTACCAGGCCCTCAATTGACCTTACTTCAACCGTGAATGCAGAGGAGTCATATACTGAAAATGAAGTCATATACTCAGAGATTGGTAAGTTCCTGTCAGCCCCTGCAGTCAGGAATGTTTCTTCAGGTACTGGAAGGGGACACCTACTGACCCTCTTGGCAGAAGCATTATTTGAAATCCCTCAGAATCCATGGCTGCCATCATCTGACAGCCATGCAGCTAAAATTGCAGCTGGTTAAACGAACAGAGGTCTTAATAAATGAGGGTGCAATGGCCATTTACTAACAGACAACAGTGAGCTATATGAAGCTGCAGCAAAATAAAACTTGCATAGCTCCTGCATTCTGTTCAAATTTGTTCAGTACTTTAGTTATTTATTCAATCCTTCTTAAGTCTGGCAAGATTCAAAGTCTATTCAAACTGAAATTATGAAGTGACAACAAAGCAACTGACCTATGTTAAGACATTTTAGTACTTGAATTGCAGAAAACACAAAATAAAGAAGACATTACCTGACAGCCACAATGCCCTGAACTTGCACATTTCTGTATTTGCCTTGAATGTGAATGCCTCTTTTCAAGGGGAGTAAGAACTGCCCCCCAAAGAAACAAATAGCAAAGGCATTGTTTGCAATTTCTAAATATCCAAATGGAGTAACTGTCTCCAAACCAACTTGCCTTCCTGTTCATGCAGTAGATAGAGCTCTCACTGCCCTGCTGGGTCAGCTCAGTGCTGTGCAGCTGCTTGTGCCAGGTCTCAGTCTGCAAGGACAGTGAGAAGAGTTCTGATAAGGCGCATGGATACTCCATGATTTCTATTCAGTATGGAATCTCACTGCTTTGTTTCAAAATTACAGAAAAAAAAGTCTGATTCAAGTTGTCTGTAATTGAGTTAACTGCTGTTCATCATTTTTAATCCAGAGCCTCTTAGACCAGAAGAAGAATACATGAACTTCTCCATTATAAGAAGAGAAGAGGAAAAAGGTGAAAACCTCAGGCTGTAATATTGGAATATCTGATGCACACAAATATGTTTTGAGGAAACTTTGCTGGGTGGAGGCAGGGCTTAAATACTTGAAATTGCTTAGAAATTGCTTAGTAATTGCTTTGTTACTATGGAAAAACTAAAATAATATTAAAACTGTTTTGAGGAAGGGGAGGGAAAGAAGGAAGAAAAACCCCAACAAGCCATCCTATGGCAAATTCAACTGCCTCACTATGAAACCATGCAGATGTTATTAGTAACCACATTGCTGATGTAATGTTAATTCTTCTTCTGTGTATCTGTACCAAGAAAGCAATTATGAATTATGTTATATTCTGGCTTTTAGCAGGGAAGAGAGCATGTTCTACAGTCTATTCAAAGATCCTCATCAGAGACTGAGTACCAGGTATGATTATATCTTTTTCTGATTAACTTAATCACATACTTTTAAAGAATTTTTCAGCCCTCAAATGTGCTAAGTTCCAGCAAGCTGCATACAAAGAGATGATATTTAGATACCAATTTCCTGGCCTAATCAGTTTATAGACAGACAGCTCACTTGTGAAGCAAAATCTCTGAGCCATAGTATCTAAGGATTTCAACTTATGAGAAAAAACAAACATATAAAACTTAGAATTACTTGTAAAGCTTTCACACAGATTTAAGTTCTTGGCCATTTAACAATTTTGCTAAAGTAGAAACTGGATTGTTTGCAGATGTAAGGTAATCAAAAGGCTTTTGTCTAGTGTAATGAAAAAAGAAAAAACATCCCTCTTAGGCACTAGAGGATCTGTATTTGGCCTCTACGTACCTGCAAGGATGGCAATTTCTTAGTTCAACATACTTCAGCTCTCAGAGTAGGGAGAGGTTGCTAAAATTAATTTTGGGACAGATGATTTCAAAATGAATTCTGTATCCTGCTACTGGCTATTTCTAAGATATTGCTGGGTTGTTTTAATACCATTCCATAGCCAGCTTATTTAGAATTCCATGAGTTCTGTAAGTCACATTATGCTAACATTGATTATATCTAGCATACATACTCTATACTTATTATTGCTGTCACAAATAATTCATTTATAGTTAAGTGAGCACCATGTTAGTAGAAGAAGATTTTAAGGCAAGTTCTTGTGTTTCATGACACTGATGACTATCAGAGGCCATGGGCCTTGCTGCACTTTATACAGGGACTGAACAAACTGTACGGGCACTGGAAATCTAGACAATATCAGAAACACGCAGTTCTGTATCTCTGCAAACTCCTGTATCTGATTTTAACCACTGTGCTTAGGTTGAGGAAAAATATGATCACACATTGATCTTTTTCCACCATTTTGTACACACAGATATTTTGTCCACAAAAAATACTGGTCAAAAACATATTTAAATCTGTTCCTCTGTTACTCTTGGTAATATATTTCTGATTTTTTTTATGTTTATCAAGTGCAAGATAAGTAGCTTACATGTTTAAGAACTGAAGCCATGTGACTAAAACACATTCCTACAAACAGTACAAAGATACTGATGTTATTAAAATATTTAAGATTGGGAAATCTTTTATATAAAATACCATTTTCCAGCGGAGATCAGAACTGTGTCAGCAATACAGATGAAAGTTGAATTTTTAGATTAGGATGGAGCACTTTCAGTATGATATTAAACCCAAAGACATAAACCATAAAGAATATGGTTAGCCTTGCTAATAAGGGACAAGTTTTTCTCTTCCATTTTTCCAATGTAACCTGGAAGACACAGATTTGACAGAAAACAGGTGCATTATGAAGTTTCAGCAGAACTGTTTGCAGAGAAACCACTCAGTCCATGACAACGCTGAAACCAGCTCAGGCAAAGATGTCTAAGAAAATCCTTTTATTCAACAAGTTTAAGTTTACACATTTTTGGCTGATGCAACATACTTAGTTAAAAAGTCTTTCAGCCTGGAAATGTGCATCATTTCCTTCATGGTGGTGTCTCTGCTTCTCAGCTGGACCACTCCACTCTCTAGAGTGCCATCACTTATCAAGACCGTGAAGGGAATACTCATCTCATCATACCTGCAGAGAGAAGAACCCACCTGTTACTGCTTTTGGTGCATGGAAAAAAAATCAGATAACTTACATACAAATGACCATCAACTGTATATATTTAGTTTTGCTATACTGCACTAAGTCCAGTGTGACACCTCCAGTTTTCTTGTTGCCATTCCAGGCTTTCCTGATTACAGTTCTTCAAATTACTTAGACACTTTAGTATATTAAAATAATCTTATTTAGTAACCTATTAAAAGAGTAGTTTTCTACAAGCAGAATTTATCTGACTTCATTTTACTGTACATGTACAAGAAATTGCATTTATTTTCTCTCAGAAAAACCACTAATCACTATGCTCAAGATGCTTTGACATGAGGAGCCATATGCCCCAATCCATTCCTGATCAACAAATCATAACAAAACCCCTAAATGGAATAGCTGTTTTTATATCCACAAACAGTTCCATCACATCACTAATGGCAGTGGTTCCAGACTTGGAAGAACTGTCAAGTTCAAGACTAGACACAGTGGGTTGTTTGAAAGAGTGCTTAAGAATGAAACACAGAATCACACCAGATGCAAAATCAGGGGTGAAGGTGGGAAACCGTTCTGCAAGTTTATAATTCATTTGGAGAAATTTGGTTTTCACATGAGTTTTAAAAATTAGCTGATATATAGTTTTCATAATAAACTACTTGAATCCAAGTCTGTAGTTCAAGATCCACACCTTCAGGCGGTAACTGTACTCAGTGACTTCCTAGAGAAAAAAGTAATATTTACAGCAGTTCACAGAAAGTAATCTTTGACCTTCATAGCTTAATTTACAAAAGACTGTTTCTCCTTACTTTGTATAAAGCTGTTCCAGAGACACGTGCACAGTTTCCAGATAACCCGGCCATACAGAAATTCCATTTTCTGTCAGTTCATTGAACAATCCTTGACAAACCTGTGTTCATTTAAAAACAGAAGTTAAAAGACAGACTTTGAGGGTTGAGACTCAATACAAAGAAACCATTAAAGCTCTTAACAAGTGTGGTACTAACATTCCTAGCTGGTGTTTATTTGCTGGCTGAAATAATCTCAAATCAGAAAGCAGCCTGGCAGTTCTGTCTCCACTTCTGTTTAAAAACATGCCAGTGTAAGTTTCCTCCCTTCCACAGGGACTTCATGACTGACTTAAATGAAAACTTAGAAAAAATCCTTCTGAACATGTGATTCATGCATTAAGATAATTCTGAAATATTAAGAAGCTGAGAGGGATTGTGTTATTCATTTTCCTTAATTTTGCATGGGACAAGCATCAGCTCTATTGTACCAAAAGCAGTTGTGTTCACGTAAGGAACTGTCTGCAGTGAATTCTTTTGGCTGTGACCCACAAGCTGAAGAGTAGGAGCACCATGAACTCTGTACAACCAGGAATCTCCAGGAGTCAAAGCAGCAGCATGATTTTCCTCAATATAAACAGTGTCTGAATTGTAACAGATTACATGGAGAGTCAATGCTCAAGACTGAAATACTCTCTTACAGCATACCTGCCTCAGCTCTGTTGTTGGACCTTTTCCTACATCCAGGGCCACTTTAAGCGGTGCCAAGCAAGGATGAAGCTTAAGTACCTAATAAATTTACAAAAGCCATCATATTACTGAATGTATTTATCATGCAATTCTAAACAGAACTAGGAAATAGAAATTTGTAAAAAATTAAATTAAGGTTCTAAACATACAAAAATTTTCTTACAGCACAAAATCTTGAATTAGAAGCAAGCTGTATTTTATGTAACGAGCACACAGACCACCTACATTCACATGGCAGAAATTACTCTATTTTGGCTGAGCTCCAGAAAGAGATGAAGACTTGTTAGCAGAGTTCCATCACCTTGAATGGAGTCAGGGTGATGAGAGACAGCCCAGCAGGCAGCTCCCATCCAGTCTACTGCCTGTTCTTAAAGCCCAAACAACTGCCTCAATAACAGGCACTGACAGCCAGCACTCAAATTCTAGAAAACAGGGTAAAAGTGGGGAGAATGGTGGTCCCTGGGGAGATGCCCCATTACCACCTGTGACCCATTTTCTCTACTCTTCTCAGCCACTTTCAAATGCTGCTGGAAAAGACAAATTGCTCTTTCCCACAAACTGCAGCTACATTCTAATTTCTCTTAATTCCGTCACTTGTATGGCAAGATCCTACCTACTGACCAGAGAGAAGGGTAAAGCAGGAATAGGGGA